ATTTGCAGGTCGCGAATGCCAACTAGCATTCAGCGAGACCCTTCTCATCTTCGCTTGAGCCACGACATAGAGCAGCGATCTCGATTCCCGCAGTACAGTCGGCGGATGGCAGTTTCTGTCTTGACCCTTACGAACTAATACGGATGGTCGAGCTGAGGCCAGGCCTACAAATCTGACTTGGACGATGCATGATAAAGACCAGATGTTGCGGATCGTGTGGGAGTAGTGTTATCGAGTCTTTTGTGCCGATGACGACTGCTTGTCAAATGGTCTTTTGGTGCCTTCCGCACCGCTTCGTCTTGTAGAAGAGTGACGGCATTCAGATCGAGACTAGGCCTCCACTCTCTCGACGTTTCGGTGGTAAACACCACCTGATTAGGTTTTTGGGTTGTCTACGCATTGCCAAAAGCTCGGTATCAACCGTTCGACATATCCCGATTTTCCAGCGCCGACGCTGTGATTACTGCGGGAACCCAAGGCAGAAACTTCTAGTTCAAATTCTCGAATCTAGACATCAGGCCGAGTGCACTGCTGCTTTCGATTTCATTACGCGGCGAGTACGCAGGTGCATCCGGAAACGGAGGCGTGTGGGTAATGTAATTGCACAGCACCCGAATGTCTAAACGGAGTCGATGGGGGCCATCGGCGGGCTACCGAAAACTTTTTGAGGTCCGGCAAAGGCCGCTGATCATCATGACCATGTCTGTTGAGCGAATTTGCCTCCGGAGGCATCCCGGGAGGTGATTGTGTGCTCATCAACTCAATTATCATCCGCCCCTACCAACCTGGTTGGGATTATGGGCTTCAGAACTGATCTCTCATCGTCGGATCTCCGCGTCGCTGTACCTGATTGCACCGTACTATGGTGGAGTCTTTACTTGAAACAGTGTGCCAAAATCGACTTCGGCCTAAGTTTCGTTGAGTCGAGTGCATCATCTGAATATATGTATAAGTTAGTCATAGCTTGAACCTTGTCGCTCTACACCACACTATGGTCATCTCGATACTTAATCACCAGTGGTACACATCGAACCTATCATTCACCGAACCCCCTCCCGCCAACAACCCTCAACAACACCACCACAGACCGCACGTCGCATCCAATCAGATGCATTGGCCCAGATCTTCTGAGGTGAAGCCACACACTAGCCGGCAGGTCGCGTTCTCACAACATATTTGCCATTCATCATATACCATCTACCAATGACCATGCCAGCCGGTGTGCAACTTCAGCTAGAACGGCTAAGGGTCGCCTGAGAGGATGAACGATGATGTGCTGCTTAGAACTGAGGACATTCTGGAAGCTGGTGGGTGGTGAAGAGAGGGATGTGTTGGGAGAGGCACATGGAGGAAGGGTCTGGTCTTCGCCCTCTGCATTCGATTGAGCCCGTAGGAGATATCGAAGAGAGTAAAGACAGACACTATCCGCCTTGCGGGTTTGAGGTAGGATATCACGTCTTGCCAAGAGGAAGGAGTAAACATGGCTCTTACCTTGCACAGTATATGTACCTCTAGCCTTTGTAAGAAGCATGGGTAAATGAGCGTAGTCCAGATCGCCGCCGGTCTTCTCACGTCCCAAGGACCGCGACTGCATATGCGATTACACAGCCCTTGGGACATTGCATGTATGTGTTCCGTCTCTTTTGTGTTCGATAGTTGCTGACGTGACAGACTTGAGGAGTTGAGGAGAAGAAGATGGGGGGTGAGAGGATGAGGTCGACGAGAGGAGATGCTGAACAATCTGACGGTGTAGGAATGTAAGAATTGAATCGATACTTGGCCTTTAGTACTGATCTACGGCTAGATGCATCGAGACGACTTTGGCGACGACAGGCATTGCCGTTGACATTGGGCCGGCCAGATGATGCCTGGAGCTTGTGTGCGCTCGTCATGAACGCAAGGCTTGACCCACGACGATGTCGCCCATGGGAAGCAGCTTTAGACTTGAGCCCACGGACCCAACATCTGTTTCCAGTTGTGTTCTCCCTTCGAGTCATGTTCGGCGATTCAGGGTCTCAACGCCGGTGTCGTCCGGGTGTAGAACCCATCTCCGAGTCCGATTCTATCCAGTCCAAGGAGGGCGGCAGGTAGGATTACGACACCGCTGCGTATCTGTCGGCGACTGTGTTCGATCGAAGGGAGGCCAAGATCCTGCTGCGATGCATTAGCTTCCGCTGTGCCTTGCCGTCGGGAACTTGCGTCTCCGACCAATCTAGAAGAAAAGGAGACAGGGAGACTTACGAGGAGCCATTACCGAAGGCCGCGATACCCGACTGGTGCAAGATCTTACCTGGAGTTGTGTGTGTGGGTCATCGCGCTGCCCCGCTGGAGGGTGCCGTGGTACGAGGGCGCCAGCTTCCCGCTGCATGCATCGACGATAGAGCGGATCTGAATGCGGGCGATGAGAGCACTATCAGCTTAAATCTCCCGCCGAGCCTGATGACCACTGCGCCGTCCCTAGTGTGGTGTTGAGCGGGTTTCCTTGTTGAAACTTTCGAGCCGCCTTCCTAGCAGCCAACCTCGCCCATCCGTCGGCGCCGGTTACAAGTATCGACGCGCGGTCGCGATGGGGATGGAGACATGAGTCTTGGGAGGGATTCTAGGAGCGTTTTCATGTTGGATTGAGGTGGGCGATCGTAGTCGTGGTGAGGTTGTGGGAAAGTACGAAGTGAGGCAGTCGCGATGGAGCTCCTAGGGTAAGCAGAAAGGTACGGCTTTGGGCCCCCCTCCCCGACCACGACGACCACGACGACGCAGATGCCAGCTTGCTACTCTGCTCATCAGGATTGTCTCATGCAGACAACCTACCTCAACTGCCATGTTCACATGAAACCTGGCGGAGCTGGCTGCTCCGAAAGCCTCAGGGGAGGGAGCGCGGGGTAATAGTTATTGCGCCTCCGATTGCAGCGATACCACAGCGACATCATACTCTACGACCTAAATCAGCAGACCCGGAGCTAGGAACGAGGCTTCGCAAACCCGTCCAAGCTACAGAAACATGTTTGAAGGGCCTTGCATTGCACGATGGCTATCACCGGAACAGATCCAGCGGGGATCGTAGCTAGAGTCGAGAGCTCGAACTTCGGATTTGCTAACTGCGAATGCAGCGTGGGTACTACCAGGTTGACATGTTGATCATGGTCATACGACCTAGTAGCGCTACGAATTGCGCAAGACAGACCGATTGAGAGGCGATACGCGATACGCGCAATTGTGGCAACGGGGCAACGGAGCATCGCATTCACAGCAACCATGGGTAGGAACAATCACGGGAAGGGGACGTCGTCAAACCCGGTTTTGAACTCTACACTACGCAAGTAACGGTCACCATGCCAAATTCAGTATCCATTTCACACAGCACCCGGGTTTGGAGGTACAACACTCGTACGCGATCTAGCATTTAGACACGCCGGCTGCGCTGCGGCGAACCCACAGACTCGAAGAGTCGACAATGCTATGGGAATACTCACCCCCGCGCTGGATGTTCTGGGGGCTGTCCTATTAATAATAAAGCTACACGATCATCGCAAGCAGAACGCGCTTTGAACAAGACGCCATGAAAGTGGATCAGCGTGTGTCGATGTCCGGAGGACTTGCAAGTTGCCTAGGGTTGGAGATCGCAATATCGCAATATTCTGATTCTGCTACACCCCAAATTGCCATATCGTAGACATATTAGCAGTCTTCACTGCTGACGACAGAGATAGATCTTGAGCAAAGGTTCAACTGCTCCGACACGTACGAATGCAAATCATCTATCTACCGCAAGTTGTGGCCCTCGTTCATATCCACCGCATCTTTCAAGACTTCCACATCTCACGCTCATCCCTCGCCCGCTGAACCTTTGTACAGTGGACTCCCCGCATATCTTCCCTGGTAGATTCTCTGTCCGCCACTGGGCTTCGAGTCTTCGCCATGAGGCTCGAAAATACATCTGATTTTCGCAATCTAGCCTCCCCCTTCCCACCCCGAGGATCTCCTTCTCGACCGCTACCATTTCACGATCCAATCCGCCGCAATAGCCATCCCTGCACTTGTCCTAGACGGAACAAGATGAGGGTGGGTGACAGTATGCTAGAATATGTTGTAGCCATTTTACGTCTCCAGAACGTATTTGTGGGGTAGCTCAGACCTTCGAAGAATCAAGTCCATCAACAAATCACACAATATCGATTATCTCTAGACTCGACTGTCCCGCTTATTATTATTCGTTTACACGCGTTGTTCATCATTCAGTGACACCGTTGTCAATTTTCTGAGTCGACATAGGCTTGTCGCTAAATCTTCACTCAATAGAGCAGTTGTCACTAGATAGCTTTATATCACGTGAATGACCAAAGTCTCCCCTGTTACGGCATAAGTACCGTCCCCGTCTGGTACATACAATTGGAGGTATATAGATATCACCTACATCCTCTGAATCTGCTTGTCGAAAGATTTTGACTTTGCTCGCTCTTACACCACACCGGCTTCCAGTACACAACCATAATCACATGCACATCAGGACACAATCAGCCTGACTATGTGCTTCAATGCCGTAACGACGAGGTTGTCTATTTCAAGTACCGCACATTACAATTAGCCCAAGAAGTGTACAACACCATTTGCTATCTACCCTGGATCTTAAGAATGCCTACTAGCTGACTTCTCATAGTATCTAATGCTTCATTGTCAATGATCTCAGATAGCAGTTCTAGGTACGGCCAGAGATGACAATTAAAACAATAATCTATAATGATTAGAGTCTTCACGGCATTATACTGTGGATTTTAAAGGTCTACAGAGACACATAGTGATGATTGGATTGTAGGATGGATCATAAGTAACTAGACTAGGCAGTGAAGAGAACAACCATGCAGACAGCTGCAGTTGACATAGCTGGTGACAGTATTACCCGCTGATGGCTCACTAAACCCTCAAGAAACTCCTAACACTCACAAGTTCGCCTTGTCAAGGTAGATATAAGCCGTCGAGTATCAGAAGACTGATTGATATCCCGCTCACTTTTCAGTATCATTCAAAGCAGCGTCTTCATCCGAGATTCTCTTCCAATTCTTTGGATAACCCCGAGCCTTCCGGTAGTCCTCGGCATCTGTCTCCACCCTAGTGAACAGCCCCTCTCGCCACCCACCATCGCCATCCTCTCTGTAGCTGAGTTCCGCGCCATAGGTCCAGGAAAGTAGTCCTTCAGCACGAGCTCCATCTGATGCGTCAAGTACACCCACAGCGATATCCAGAAGTTCAGGTCGGTTGTCGGAGGTAAAAAAGATACAAGCGGAGCAGGTACTACAAAAGAAGCGATCAACATGGGGGGAAGAAGCGTAGTAGGTGAGGGTGCCGACAGAGGGGCCTTGCGCATCGACTAGCTTCTTTAGCTCAGTCTTGTTTGTGGGGAAAAGCCCGTTGTGGCTCCCGAAGGATATGTGCTTCATCTCTGAGAACGTCCAATAAAAGGTATCAATTCCGGACTGGAGACGACAGGAGTCACAGCCACAGAAGTCAGCTAGGAGCTTGTGCGTTTTGGGATCGATGTTGAAGGGCAGCTCCTCCTTCTTTACGCCCGAGTAATCGCCTCGGTGAAGAACAAGGTCGACACCTTTGCACCTGCAGCGGATCGGAACGGCGTCCTCCTTCTTCGCTTCGTATCCCGTCAATTCAGCTGGAGAGGGCCAATCTTCAGGGAGTTCTTCGGCATCTTTCGTGTCACTATCCAGTTTGAAGCGTTTTACTTCAGTGCCGTCTGCATTCGGATGTCGTAGCCAGACGCTTGCGCCACCATCAAGGGTGTCACCGACGAAATCGTGGTTGCTGAACTTGACAAGATCATCATGGTTGGTCAAGACGCCAGTAAAGACGCCAAGTAGGCGATTCTCATCCGAGGATGTGGCCCAGAAAACAGGCGTAGAGCAAGTTGGGCAAAACAAGAGATTGATCCTGGAGGAGAATTTGTAGATCTTGAGCTTGGAAACGTCGACGTTCGATCGTGGCTCAGGCCAACGCGTCTCGCTGGTATAGAGCGCGCCTGTCAGGTGGCGGCAGGAGGTGCAATGGCATGTGTGTGCTGATAGAGGTAGTTCTGATTTGAGAATGTCTGTCGTATAGACATTTGCTTTGCAAAGGCAGTGAGCTGTCAGGGTGATCGTGTCTTTATTCGTAGAAGCCATCTGGGGAAACAGTAGTGTATTTGTCAAGGTTGTAACGAGCGAGGCGCTGGGTCTTTATGCTACAATCTGGTGGTGATAGTTGTGGTACAGGCATTGGTCAGCTATGGCGGGGTTCGCGTCGCATTGGGGCTAGGAACACGAAACACGAAACCACGTGACCGCGCCCTTCATGTAAATTACGTCATCTTACAAATCCGCATTACAGCTAATGATCTTCATGATGGGTTCTGAAACTCGACTATTACAATGTCCCCAGACTATCCATGCAACCGGAAGGCGCTCACGACATGAAGACAGCATCTTGCGGTCCTTGCTTGTACTGTCGCGTTGGAGGCACGCATTCTTATATCTTGACGACGCGCATCACGTCGAACAACCCAGCTTTTTGCTTCTCTGACATCCCGTCTTTTAACAGACCCGTTACATTTTCACCCTTTCGCCCTCGCTGATTGCTCACGAGTGTCATATTCGCCTTTTTGAATTCATGTGTCCGCCCCGTCGCACCCGAGATCCACGTCTTGACATTACTGAACTGCGACCCATCCAGCAAGTTCGTCCCATATGCCGAAGCCCATGGCGCGTCTACTTGCCAGGGATCCAAACTTTCTCGCAGTTCCGGAGTGAAGCAAGTGACTACGACCATCTGCGTCTCAGTCTTGGGAGTGTTTGAGCCTGTTGTTGGAGTTGGAAGCGTAGTGCCGACGGTCGATGGCTTAGGCGATGGTTGTGGGTTGGCAACTTCTTCGATGAGCCAATTGTAGTCTCTCTTGTGTTCCGAGTTGTGCTTTTCAATGCTCCAGTCCTGAATTCCGTCTTTTTCGTCGAACTCCGGCATCTTCTTCAGCACGGCCGCTACATCAGAGTCCGGAATTTTGCTCCACAGCGTGCACCCGAGCAATGTGATATTCGTCCCAGGAACCTCCGACCGCGTCTCATACAGGACCTCTAGCCTGCCTTTCGTGACTGGCTCTTTCTCCATCTTATGCGCTAGCTGCAGGCCGTCCATCCAGTTAAGACCGTGAAATTCTAGAGGACCGAGCACTAGGAAGACTTTGTCGTGCAGGTTGCAGCGCCGGACGAGGAAAGAGAGGTATTGTTCGTAGTCAATTAGGCGGCCAATGTTTCCCGCGAGGATCAGGAATGGTGCTGCCACTGGGATGTGAAATGTGAGATATTGCGAGTCATAGTCAAGGTAGAGGTCAGAGAGTATTTGGAAGGACGTCTTGGGTCCGGAGAAGAGACCTGACAAACGTTTTGATGTGGTAGACAAGAGATTCATCTTTTCTTGTGATGCAATTGGCCGAGTTTAGGCTTTTTAACTTCCTACAATGGATACGTACGACAGTATTCACTCGGTGGGTAGGTGGTATGTATGTCGATAACGCAAAAGAACGAAACAGTTATCTGGCAACGAAGAAGAGATAGATAGAATCAGTTAGAGCTGTGAAGGAAATGGATAAAGCGTAGGAAGCAGCGAGGGATGCACTTATAGAGGCGTGTAAGCTGAGCCAGCTGGCAATAAAGGTTGCGAAACTGCAGGATCGCGGCGAGCTGAACGTTGTTATCCGTCATCCTCAGTTCCGCTGCTTACAGCCTCACAGCAGGCGCATGTGCATGTACATGCCTACAAGTATCCAAATGAGATTCACCAGTGTCTGCAGTTGGTTCTCAAAGTCGTTCCGTGCGATGAGATGCTGTAGGAAGGGTGGCTGTGTGGTGGGGTCCCGCCGAGGAGACGGATTTAGATCTGATCTAAACCAAGTTGGGATAGCACGGATGATGTCAGCTTATGTCTTTCCACCCAGGAGCATAGGCAACCATCACGCTCAACCACTTGCGCCGCAAAAGTGCTATCGTCCAGTATATATTCACTGCTATCCTGCTCGCATTCCATCTCTCATCTACTTTTGACGTTATAAATTGATTCGAGAGCACCGCGACTTCAACAACCCCAAGACTTGCCACGAGCCGCAGCTACGAAAACGATATCTTTCTTCTAATGCTTTCAAAACGAGATACCCCAACACTCCACCAGGAACGAAAGACTGATCATGCAGCTTTTAGTGACTACGATGGTCGGCACATTCATGTTGCATGATCCTACCACACGACTCTAAAATGAAAGATCTTTATGTTGTTTCCCATCTCACGCTATACCATCATAGTTGGTGGTTGGATGGCACGTCTGGGAACTATCAGTCAACCTCTCGACACTTGAAACTTCACAATTCTCGAAGCTTTCCGCTATATGGTAGCGTACAGGGCCGACGGTGTACAAACCCCTGGTGGTCAATAACTGTATCTTTTTAGTCAAATCATTTCGTTCTCTCTTTTAGGCTCGGATCGTACGCCCTGAAGACTCAACGACATCAATTGGTTTGCAAAGGCCCATAAGTACGGAACAGTCACACTATCTTGCATTGTCTGTCCAAGCGCCACACTACGCATAGACCGACCCGTTCAGGGGGTCCATCGAACCCAGTCTCCAGACATCATCCACATGTCGGCATGTCACCACTCAGTACATTCCATTACCGGCAAATCCGTGCCACGTTGTCTGGCCCCATGGACTGCATGACAGACGGATATTCAATGTACTGCTCGTGTTCCGATGTAAGCAGCTACCCTGAAAACTAATGTGCTTCGGTGACAGCATAGCCTGAATGCTGTTGGGAATTCTAATGGGACTTCCGTCGTTCACGGCACCTGCACCAGGAACAGGAGCGGACGTTCTGTCTGACTTGATCTTACGCTGGACGTTATCCGGCTAAATGTTAACCGCCTTGCAGCTTTGGCCCCACGTGCAAGCACATTGCCACAGCGAATGCCCTTGTGTTCTAACAGCACATGTAAACTACGCCGTCAAATACTTTGGACAATGTAGTTGCGCAGCACTTTTCATAATACCTTCCCTAGAGGCCTACTCCTGATGAAGCAAGGGGCGCGCACGTCCCCGGGAACAAGTATCGGATCCCCATGGATCTCGGTAATCCTTCATGCGGGGATTTGCAATATGTTCTAGGCACACCATCAGCGGCTCGATATTGCATCCGGGAATCTACCAAGCTCGACCCTGGAGCAGGGGGCCACGATGATCTAAGAATAGCCACCGAACCCAAAACCACAGTGAAGTCCGGGGGTCATATACTGACTTGACTGAATCTTGATATCGGGACGGACCTTTCGCCTCCTTGAGGATTATCATAATGGTGTAGTACTAAGCTTAGTTGGACATCAGGAACCCTAAATCGAAGTAATTTCGCAAGGTCTGCAGGATTCCGCGCCATCTTTGTCCCAGGCCATCACGCCTCTTCAATGCTCTAGGCAACGCATAGAAGATGTCTTGAAGAGCATGAGTGCCACAAACCCCTCATGTCGCTTAGTTACATTGTGCGGCCTTCCAGGAGTATGTATCGACATGCAGGAGCAATATATTGTAGGTATTACTGTACTGTTCCAAGCCACGTCACGCATCCGTATTCACCAGTCCATTACCCAGGCCCGCATTCGTCACAACTCTACCTGGTTTGAACCAATCCTCACCTCCGTATTCCTCTCCTTAGCTGTCAGCTCTTATCAGTGTACGGTGGTTAATATCACGAAATGTTCCTTTGACATCGTCTTTTGCCATGAAGCGAACGGAAAGACGGCTAGATGCAGTGAGATAACTCGGTGGTGAAGCGATGGTATGTTATAGGAACCCATGTGCGTGCTTTTCAGCCTCGTATTAATTTATTCGGTCGCAATAAGAACTCAAGATGGCGAAGTGCCAATCTGATGTACCTCATGGATACATTCTAGACTTCGGAGTATTCACTCTCTCCTCGGAGGCTTGCTAGTTTGCAACTGTATAAGATGTCTTGCTATTTTCAGTGCCCGAGGATCGCTTGTCAGTTATCTCATCTCATTCTTCCAAATCGCTTCTTGTGGTCGAGATGAAGACTCTCTCCTACCTCAGCCACGCCCTCTTGGCATGCATCCCACTTTCCAATGCCCATCCAGGTATGGGTGAGCAAATGCTGGAGATGCGCCGCGAAGCTAACAGGATCGAACGGCGATCCTCAAAAGAACTCATCGGCGATCTGAAGACTCTCGCAGACTCAAAGCTGACGGCAATCGGAAAAGACATCAAGGCAATCCTCCTCGACCAGAAGAATGCCGAATCATCAACCATCGACACCTCCATTCCTGTTGGTGGGATCGGCAGTGCAGCCTGCAAAGCTGACCTCTGCTGTCACTGGAAATGGCTCTCGTACGAAATGACTGCCAAGTTTAACGGTACATCTGGTCGCTGCTCCAAGTTCGCCCGTCAAGCTGTTCGCCTAGGTTTCCACGATGCCGCTGTTTGGACAAAAGACAGCAGCTATGGTGGAGCGGATGGAAGTATTCTTCTCAGCGACGAGATGTCTCGCGCAGATAACAACGGTCTCGCTGCTATTGCCGACCAGACGAACAAGTGGTACAAAAAGTACAATCAATACGGCTTGAGCATGGCCGATATCATTCAGTTTGGTGCCAATGTCGCTACCGTAGTATGCCCTCTTGGTCCTCGTGTCCGTTCCTTCGTTGGCCGCAAGGATAACTCCAAGGCCGGCCCTACCGGTCTTCTACCTGGGGAGAAAGACTCCGCAAGCGTTCTCCTCAAGCTCTTTCAAGCCAAGACCATTGATCCTCATGATCTTGTCGCCCTTGTTGGTGCCCATACGACGTCACAGCAGCACTTTGTCAATACAGCCCGTGATGGTGACCCTCAGGATACAACACCCGGTGTCTGGGACGTGGCTTTCTACCCGCAGACTATCAACAACCCGCCTCCAAGAGTCCTAAAGTTCCAGAGCGATATCAATCTGAGCAAGGACTCGAGAACAAGCAGCGCTTGGACAGAGTTCAGTGACCGGAATACCGGTCAGCAAAAATGGAATCAGGTATGTGTCTGCCCTTTACACTTCTTTGCAATCACGTTGCTGATAAATTCAGGACTACGCTAAAGCGTATACCCGTCTCTCCCTCCTCGGTGTGAATAACATCAATGACCTAAAGGAGTGCACACAAGTAATGCCAGTGCAGCGCAATTCGTTTACTAGCGAGGATCAAGTGGTGCTGGACAGGTGGCTGCAGGGCGAATTCGACCAGTTGAACAACATGGTAGATGATGCGATCCAGCTAACTGGTGTAGTAACTGGACCTGGGAAGGAATAGAGTATGCGAAGATACCTAGAGGCATTGGAATTGAATAAGTAATCTAATATATTCATTAACACTCGCGTTGAACACTCTCTCTCTCTCCCTAGCAGTTCCACTTCATCTTGTCTTCACCACTGTTCGTCAGTCAGTGCCAAGCAAACAGTCACCTACACTGCGTCACAACACAAGCTTCGTTTCCCTCTCCATCCAAAACAGAATACACCACTCTCAAAAAACAAACAATCAAACCCAATAACCAAGCCAAAAGGCCTTCAAACGTACTTCTTCACCTCCTTCTCCACCCCACTGAACCCAACACCCTTCCAGCACAATGGCACCCACCGACTCCTCCAAGGCAGCCAACGAGCCCATTCCTCTGCTCAAGTGGCTCGCCGAAGTCCTGGCTCACTTCACCCGAGCCACCGCCTCCGATGCGCCCGAGCCCGCCAACCCGGCGCTCGAGCGCTACTTTTGTCACGTTTGCAAGAAGAAGAACGACGATCTGCGCATATCGTTTGCGAGGGGAGAGAAGTGCGTTGTGTGCGGGCATGGGGGGTGCTCGTACTGTCGGCAGTACCGCCGTATGACGAACGAGGTGCTTGGTGTGAGGAAGTAGCTGGAGGTGGATGGGGGGTCCGGGGAGGGATTCAGGTGCTGTGTGGGTGAGGAGTAGGAGGGGGTTATGGTGGGCTGGGGGGATTCAATGCGTTATGGGGGATGGGGATGATGAGGACGAGTGTGTGAGGGTAGTCTGGGGGGTGTATAGTATGGATGAATGAATCTTTTGTTTTGCCCTTGACATGCTATGCACACTCGCTTCCTTGCGTGCTACTGATGGATTGTCTTCTCGTTAGGTTAGGATCAGATGAAGAAGCAGCTAACGGAGAGCCTATAGGTATCATTCACTCTCGTGGTACACTAAGGTTTCTTGACCGACGCGAGATCAGAGCAGTCATGGTGTTGGGACTGAGTGCGAGTATCTAGCATCCTACGGGTGGTTCCAATGGCGGTTGAAGTAGTTCTGTATCTGTGATTTTAGAAACAAGTCAGTCGAAATGCTGCGTCTTGTTATGTATGGTGGTGTTTTATATATGTTTTATCGCGTGAGCGGGATATTTGGACAAATGAATGAGCCCAGCATTTGAGACCGGGTTCCAGCAGCAGTGAATGCTACTCTTTAGTCACTGCAAGCCAGACCTTTAGAAACCAGTCACTGAAGTATACGGATAGACTGGAGCTGGAGTAGCTTACCCTATGAGTATAGGATAGGGACAACTTGACGCCATCTCTGAGTGCTGTGTATGTACGTGCTCCCGCTATGGTCATTATCGTGGGTCCATGACTGCGCTCGAACGCCCCGCCACCATTTTACTCATTTTCACTCTGGCTCGACATTGCCCGAACATCATCTTCAACCACGCAGAATATTCAGTATTCGACCTCTTTAGTTCCCCGCAAGCCATGGACTCCCGCTTGCCCACTCTCAAGTCCGCGTCGTCCCCTTGGGGCACCACGCCCACGCCCCCAGCACACCTCTTCCGCACCGTCAAGCGCCTCTCTGCCTTTGCAAACAAGAGCAACGCCGTCTTCCTCTGCCTCCCGCGCGAGCTGCCTCCCCCTTTCATCCCCGAGACCAGCAGAAGCTATGGACTCCCATCACCCGTCGCAAAGGTACATGCCGCATTCAAGAAACAACCCGAGGCGCGGATGCGTCAGCAGGTGTGGCTATTGGAGTATCCTCGAGCGTCGGACGCGATCTTCCATTCTATGAACTTCAACGGCGTGAGCGGGTTGACGCAGGAGTATGTCAAGGTGTTGCCGCAGCTTGTAGTTGTCAAGATGGGCGTGGCACCGGCGAAGATTAGGAAGGAAGGCGAGATCATCGAGATTCTGCATCGTGGGCGGGAATACAGCACTCTGCACATTGGCTCCAGCATCGTCAAGAGCCAGATCACGTCCGAGGCTAGCTCATCATGGTTATGTCTCCGACCCAACTTCGCTCCTACGTTGGCGCAATTCGGCGAAGCGAGCGTGGCTGCTGGACGAGGCGGTATTCCAAGCTGGTTCGTTGCACATACCTTCTTGGGTTTAGTCGACGCGGTCGACTTCCTGCATAAAGACGGGATCATGCACAATAGGCTTTACGCTTCCAACGTCATGCTCAACCTCTATCCGTCGTACATACATCACCGGTACCGCGGGTATCCAGACATCCAGCTCATCGACTTCTCCTGTGCTACGACGATGGCAGAGTCGGGTTCCGAGAAAGATACAAAAGGATTGCTCTGGGTCGTTGAGCAGGTGGTTACCAAGTGGAGTGATTCAGCGCCTTTCCTTGCTGTGAAGGCGGCTAGAGAAGACACTGATGACCCTACGGTGCTGGTGTTGAGGGATATACAAGAAGTCCTTGGAGATGACGCGCCATTCGGATTAAAGGATATCAAGCAGAATTTCGTCGTCCGTGTCGAAAAGCTGAGAAACACAGGGCCGGAGACGATTCCGAGGTATATGATGAAGCTTCTGCATGCTGACTTGGCAACAGAGGAAGAGCTGGAGTCTGCGTTCCGGAAACTAACGGTCTTGAAGTTTGAGACTCGGAGGGAAGAGTTCAGAAGGATAGTGAAAGATGTGCCTTTGATGATGGGCACTTGGGGGCACGCGGGGATGAAGGGAAAGAGGATCATGGTAATGAGGTTCACGACGAGAAAGGCGGACTTTTTGAGGACCATAGGAGAGGGCTATGTTGAGGACGAGACGAGTATGGACATGAATGACACTGAAATGAGCGGCGTAGAGATGGCAGATGACGAGACAAGGAGCGACTCAAGGAACATGCGTTATCCTTCGCTCTTTTGGGGTATATAAGGTGGGGGCATTGAGGGAGGACATATGGGAGGAAACACGAGAGAAGATGAGGTGCCACGAGAGGAGATGCCAGGGGTAGGCCAGAAAGCTTCATTTCCAGCTTTGGCGGGTATAGCTGTGCGACATCTCGCTCTTTACTTCTCTCCACAACAATCATAATCATCTATAACCACTCTTGCGGCACCGCTCTTTCTGACCACGTCCTCTCGCTCTCCCACGCCAGCCAGTCTGACCTCGTTGTCGGTAGTAGTCCCATCCCGTTCACCTTCCAGATTCCCAAAGCCAACATGAGCAGGTTGCACAGAATGTATACAATCTTGACGCCAAGTAGGCGGCTTGATGTCCCTGGCGTCTCGAAGGGAGCGAATGTGCGTTGCAGGCCGATGACGGCCATGACGGGCGTTTTGAAGAGTGTGAATACCATGAAGATGGAGAAGATCTGGAGCGTGTTGCCCGTCATGTACATTCCTAGTCGGGAGTCAGCTGTAGGTCTGGCTTCCTGGTATGAGATATGACGCACCAAAAGCGTTCATGGGCAGCTGCTTAGCGGGCGCAATGGCGACTTCCCAGGCCTTCTTCATCTTCAGCGTGTCCATGTCCTCGGCTGATGGCGCCTTCCGCGCTGTCTTGGACGACTGTGCCCGGTCCTTTCGCGTTAGGGACGCGGTGTAGCCTGGTGGATCGGCGAGAGACGCATTCTTGGGCTTCGAGGAGGGCGTCGAGTTGAGGTCGAGCACCCATTGCGGGGGCGGCGGGGGAAGTTTCGACATTTTGCAGGCACGCCTATCGATGGGCAGTAGTGCGTTCTGGTCTGGGAGAATGACGGCTGGTATGCTGTGATGCTGGCGATGCTATACACAGCAGTAGGTCGTGGTGTTGGGTCGAGTTATCGTCGACGTGCTGCTGCTCAGGCCCACTTTCCTTGGCGGATGCACGTTCCCTCTCCCGCGACCTCCGTTAGACTTCCCCAGAAGCTCCAATGCGCCATCACTGCACTCGAATACCCCATCCGTCGCCTTGTCCACCTCTCCGTCTTCCTTCGCTATGCGCGGCACCACATAGAGCCTGCCGACGAGCCACCCGCCAATTGAACCCCGCACAGGTTGCCCCTAAACGGCAGGGAGGGGCGCTAACAAGTTGGGAGGGGACGTTATCTTGGTGGTGCTACGCAGGCACATGCATCGAGCCACAGCTCAGCTGCCACACGAGACAGCTTGCCCAGCATGAGCCAGGGCGGCCAGGATGCGAAGCTCTTTGCGAGGGTACGTCTGCTTTACTTGTCCGTACCACACCCATGCCATATAGCCCTAGTACACCAAGACCACGCCCATGTTCTCCTACTCGCTACTGTATCTTGATCGCAGCTTGAATCGTCCGGCGCACGCGATTGTACAAACCCTCTTCTCTACTTGCTATGCCCGTCCGTTGTCATGATCATGTTCCTCCCCTACACCTTCGATAGCCCGCGCTTACAATACCTCCGCACTCCACAGGGCAAAGTCGCTGAGCTTCGCCTAGAACTCAACAGCGGCGGCAAGAAGGACAAGAACTTCTCTGCAAAGAAGACGGCGCTCAAGAAGATCGTCGCAAACATGACCATGAGCAACAACGACATGGTCGCCCTCTTCCCGGACATCGTGGGCTGCATGCACATACCGAGTCTGGAAATTAAGAAGATGTGGGTTGATGCGATACCATTTGGGCAGGGAGCAGGGCTGACGGCTGCAGGTGCTTCCTATATCTGGTCAACTATGCCAGGATAAAGCCCGACGTCGCACTCAAAGCGCTACCGATCATCCAGGAAGACATGCACGACAACAGCCCCCTAGTACGAGCGCTCGCATTACGGACCATGTCGTACGTTCACGTTCGAGAATTCGTCGAGGCCACCGTGCCTCATCTGAAAAATCTACTCAAAGACTCGGATCCATACGTTCGCAAAACCGCTGCCTTCTGCGTCGCGAAGCTCTACGACCATGATCGAAATTTAGTCGAAGGATCCGACCTCATTGATAGACTCAATGGCATGCTGAGGGATGAGAACCCAACAGTAGTCTCAAGCGCATTAGCGGGCTTGATGGACATCTGGGAACGAAGTGAGAATATCAAACTCACCATTGACTACGCGAGCGCTTCCAAAATCGTTTCAATCTTACCGGACTGCTCAGAATGGGGGCAGACATACATTCTCGAGGCCATGATGAACTATGTCCCACAAGACACGGCCGAAGCTGCACTACTTGCTGAGCGAATATCACCTCGTCTTTCGCACTCGAACTCCGCCGTCGTCCTCACCTGCATTCGCGTTATACTCTACCTAATGAACTACATCTCCGATCAAAAGGTAGTTACTTCTTTGTGTAATAAACTCTCGCCACCCCTCGTCACCCTACTCTCCAAAGGCCCGGAGATTCAATATCTGGCCCTACGCAACGCTCTTTTGATCCTCCAACGGCGGCCCGAGGTCCTACGAAACGATATCCGCGTTTTCTTCTGCAAATACAACGATCCCATATATGTGAAGGTCACGAAGCTTGAGCTCATCTTCATGCTGGCGACGGAGAGGAACATCAAGGAGGTGCTAACGGAGCTAGCTGAGTAAGTATCTTTAGATGATCACGTCCTTGTATATCTGGGAACTAACAAGCATCAGGTATGCCACCGAGATTGACGTCGACTTTGTACGCAAATCCGTACGTGCGATCGGCAAGCTGGCCATCAAAATTGCTCCAGCAGCGCAACTATGTATCAGCACTCTTCTCTCCCTCGTCAGTACCAAAGTATCGTACATCGTTCAGGAAGCCACCGTCGTCATCCGCAACATCTTTCGCAAATACCCCAATCAGTACGAATCTATCATCTCAACATTATGCGAGAACCTCGATTCGCTCGACGAGCCAGAAGCGAAGGCGGCCATGATCTGGGTTATTGGACAGTATGCCGATCGCATAGAAGACTCCGACGTACTTCTCGAAGACTTCCTGGATACCTTCCAAGACGAAACGCACGAAGTGCAACTAGCCCTCCTTACAGCAACGGTGAAGCTATTCATTCAACGGCCAACGCGAGGCTCAGCATTAGTCCCTAAAGTCCTAAAATGGGCCACAGAGGAAACCGACAACCCCGATCTACGCGATCGAGGCTACATGTACTGGCGTCTCCTCTCCTCGGCACCTGAAGAAGCAAAGAAGGTAGTCATGGGTGAGAAACCCGCCATCACCGCCGAGGAATCAGAGAAACTCGATCCCGGTACACTAGAGGAAATGTGTCTCAACGTAGGCACCCTAGCGACCGTGTACCTCAAGCCCGTCAACCAAGTTTTCCGCTCTGCACGGCCCCGCAAACTACAAGATTCCCCCGCCCTGCAACGCAAAGAACTTCCTACTGTAAAAGCAGCACAGCAAGCGCGTGACCGCACTGCAGCGGACCGCTCACGACTCGACACCACAGCCACGAATGGAAACGGCTCGCTATCGCCCCCGAATGGAAACGGCATGGCAGCCGCTGTTAGCGATGCAGACATGTACTTTGCCAGCGTGGGCCGCCAGAGTACGTTTGGCGGATCGCCTATTTCTGCGGACCAAGTGGGTGTTGGAGGCGGATGGGTCGTTAATCAGAATGAGCCACAGCACATGGTTATGAGTCCTGGTGGAAATGATGGGAATCAGGATTTGTTGCTGTAGAAGCTCAGTTTGTGTGATTTGTGTGAAGGGATGAGGCTCAAGGGGTGGGTGAGGTGAGATGTATGGCGGATGTAATGATATAGCTGTGAGTGAGGCCAATGATACATCGATATGTTTCAATTTGGTGTGTTGTATTAATGTTACTGGTGACCCTGGTTCATTACGACGGACTAATTTAAGACTATGGTGCGTGCAAAGAGCTTTAAGGAAGATAGTGGACTTCCAGATGGGTAGTGCGTCAAGTTTATATTATCGTAACTTGAATTCTTCGAGTCGATCTTGATGATGCGCAACATAATCGTCGCACATGAACTCCCCAGCACTCATATAAGGCTTAAAACTTTCTGTGAAGATGAAACAATCGCCACTCACGAGTGTCCAAGTTCCATTCTCATTGGATCGTAGAGCACATGGCGAATCAGCCCCCGAAAACACGCAGACCACGTCTCCTTCATGCACGCTTCTGCCTACGATTGCTAGCTCACCGTTATCCATTAGGATAACTCTACACAGCTGGAGGGAATTAAAAAAATGGTGTACAAGCTCGACATCGCTATAAGTTTTCTTTGCTAATTAGCATTGAATTCTTCTCCGATAGGAAGGGGAGCCAGCTTACGAACAACCTATGTGCCTCTCGAACTAGATACGCCTGGAGAACACCACCATCAAAAAGGGACATAGCTAGCAAGTTAGTTCAGTTCCGTCACATTGTGTATTTCCTGTATACGTACCATCTACAATCTCTTGCCCAAGTTGCTCGTACATGGTACAACTGTCCTCAATATCTTCCAGATCGGCTAGCACCCTAAGGCTATCAAAGCTGTTATACAACTTCTTCATTTGTACTTCAGCATCGTCCGAGTTGGCAAATGAGAACATTTCGCTTTTGTAAACTACCTCTGCGTATCGACAACCTTTGACAGGTAGCTCAAAGTGGGGATTATTCTCTCTATCTAAAACCCTGCGGATTTGATGTTCATTGAGAGGCTTCCGTGTCGGTAGGTATTGAATTGATCCCGGCTCACACGATTCATCGAAGAAAAAGACGGCGGAAAGCGGGAGGTTCTGGGACCAATCTGGAATCCACGAGGGCATGTCCATCTTCTCGTGTGGGTGGCGAACGGCAGTGAGGATCCGAAGCCCTATTACAGGCAAGAGAAACATTGCAACTTCAATGAAGATTTCCTCAACACTTTTGAGATAATTTATCAAGGAATCCATCTCGGTCTGCCCAGGGCCGATCAGCGACCTCAGAGCAAAGACTCTATCTCTTGGGTCCGTTGCTGAACACATTCTGCTTTCGAACACCAGATGCCATAAATTGAATTGTGGAGTTGAAAATCTTTGCGGGGGGCGGTATACCAGGTATAACGCGAGGGGCTGAAAGTTCTTTGTCAAACGGGTATCGAAGTGACCGAAGACACAGACATATACAGCATTTGAAGATGCGCCGGCTGAGCCGCACATAAACGTGACAGAATCGTTCATGCTTACTTCTTGGAGAACCCAGACTCGTTGAAACCATGATCTTTGGAACAAAATTTCTAGTTCTCGGATGGTGGTATCATTAGGCGGCGGCCCACCGTATCCGTCTTGTGCCAAGTCAACCTCTGCCAGTTCCTTGAACAATGTGTGGCTGCCTGCAGTCTCTTCACCAAGATACACCGTCACGCCAGATGCACTGCGAAAGATCTTGTCCATGATGCGAACTTGGCTCGCTCTTTCTGTGAGGTTTTTCTGATCAATACTGATAGCATCAACCCATAGCACCCGGTCATGATCTTTTTGGCGTAGATGTTGGAGAGCGTTGTGACAGTTCGTCCCTATACGCAACTCTATGCTACCATCGTTGAAGTGGATGGCTTTTTGATGAGTAGCATCGCCCCACGTATAAGACAATGCTTCGTATTTGAGGGATGCGTCGGATAATCGCACGTGTCGGATCGTGCATACAAGTGGATCCGAAATATGAGAGCTTGGATGCAACACAACGACCCGGATAGAGTCATGATGTTCTAGTATGTGATATTGGTATGGTAACATAGTGTAACATATACCCAAAAGAAAGTTTCGAGGTCTAGTGGACGTTATCGGGAAGCAGAGACTCTAGCAAGGTTTAGGCAGCAGCCTGCGCGGGGCAAGAACAGGGGACGGGATCGGCGTTTAATCCAGTGGGTACCCCTGAACATATGCAGGCCTCTTTACTATAATTAGCAGTTACGGCTCCTCAAACTTCGTCTAGCAAAACAGTATTAGGGCTGTGTTAGCTAAGTACTGTGGGATGCAAAGATAAGGGCTGTTGGTAATATAGATTTTATTTGAACATGTTTCATTGAAGACCCCTTAGAATACTTCGACCAAGAGGAACCCTTTACGCCTATTCGACGCTTCTGACCGTCTATACTTTGTCCAAGCACCGCGGCATCAGATGCTAGTTTCCGAACAATGTAGCTTCTGGTCGGGCATTTCTCCAAGCTCTCGACCTAGGAAAGTTCCGCGACCTTTTCTCGACTCTAATGGGTGTGGATTGTCGACAAGAACGTCGTTGGGGCGGACATCTTTTGCTCCAGAATTATCCACAAACTTGTAAGAGCTTTCGATGCTGCTACGTCCTAGGCATTTGTCGCCGTGCCTGAGTCGTACTGGTCCTGCTTGCAAGTTTCGAACGGTAGCCATTGACCCGGTAAGACGGAAAAACACCAATTTTCTGCAGCCATCCATTTCTTCGTTTGTTTTTTGTCGCCAATCCTCTTCCCAAAGTAATGCGTCCATTCATTTGGATAACCTCTTGGACGTCTATGCCATTATGCTGCAATGCTCGAGTTTGAAATGGAAAGCCCAGGGTTCATTAGCGGGATATATGGTCGTCGCCTTCTGGCGCGATTAGTTTTTGAAACAAAACATAGTGTGTCGGCTTCTAAGCAGCCGCAACTGGAATCAGCCATTCCAATATCACTGGAAACTATCATCGTCTTTCGTCTTTCGTCTTCGCTTCCTTTGTTTCTGGCTCCTCCACCTCTTCGGCCTCATCGTCCTCCTCTTCTTCCCAATCTTCGTCCTCGGCCAATGCAGGATCGATCTTCTCAGTCTTCTTGCCCGGCCAATGTAAAATCCCACTGTACCAATGAAACTGCAGTTCCTTGTCGATAAGTGTGTCTTGGTGGCTGACGAGGTTCTTCTGCATCACTTCAGTCAAGGCCTGCATCACAATTTGGCTGCCCCCTGGCTTGACGAACTCCTTGCCAATCGTGTAATGCCGGACGAAGTTGCCCTTGCAGTCGGTGATTCCATGCTCGCCTCGTTCTTCTGCAAGTTCCTTGAAACCTGGCCAGCCCATGGCGTCGTCGCATGGAATAGCAGTAACGAAGCCCTCAGTCTTGTTGAATTCTGGATCCCACCGGATGTATTCGGAGAAGGCGCGTTGCTCGTGGCTCCACTTGTCCTTCCACTGTCCGCATCCGGGATATCGCGTTTCGGTCGTACAATTGCCCCATGCAGACAGCATGTCAAAGGTGAGGTTGTTATTGTGGGAGATGACGAATCCTCCGTTCAGAACCGGAACACCGTAGCTATCTGTGCTCATAGATTTGCCGTCTCTGTACTGCTGGGTATCGTGGGGGAGTGCCATAGAAGTGTTCTCTGTCTAAACGTCAAGGTGCAGAGTTAGCGTATGTTTGCGAACACTTCGTACATGGACGTTACGTACAATATTCCATCGGTTGAACAGCCATTCAAGAGGAACCTCGAGGTGTGAGACAACTGCATCGGCGTCCATAGCAACGACAAAGTCGTAGTCTGGCAGAAGCTCTTTGAATATATGCGGTCGGATCCATGTGGCGTAGTGATCGGGCATGCTTAGCGCCTGATAGTACTTGTAATCGTATCCGTGAATCATGGCGTATAAATAATGATTGGAAATGGCGTTCGACACGTAGCCTGCGCCGTCCATCTGGAGGTCATCCCAGTTTATCTTCTTATCCGGATTCAAGATTTGGTTGTCGCCCGTCGGTACACGTGTATCGATGTCGACAATGAGCAGTCTCTTACCAAAAGGCTTCTTCCATGTCGCCTTGTCGAAAGGTGCCCCAGGGAAAATGTTCCCCTTCTCATCGTGGTATTCAGGCTGTGTTGGACTAAGCCTTATCGAGCGAAAGAGCGATCTAATCGTACGGCGCAAAGTAGGTTTCGAAGACCTGAATCATGGTTAAAGAGGGGTAAAGTGGTTTGCTGCATGGCAATGTCGTACCTATGCGGTACCTTTGCATGCTGGGGCACCTTTGGATGTTTCTTGTGAGATAGCGGCTTATTATAGGGCTGGGCGGAATAAAGAAATGTGAAGACAAAGATTAACACGACGACAGCGATAACGCAGTACCGTCGAGGAGGCGCAATCATCGTGACGAAAGGAATGTGTGGAAGAAAACTAGAGGACTGTTCAAAACCGAAGGGTCGGGAGGGACAGCGGAATTAAGTTGTCCGGTAGCCTCGAGACATATAGTCGGTACATCCATGGAGCGCCTAAGGGAACCCCTGAGTTTGGGAGGGGTTGCTCTATCCGTACGTTTTTCGCGCTAATCCATGCAATTTTACCTGAGCTTCGTCACATCGTGGCTCCTCCAGATCGGTTAAATCGAGAACATGACCAGCTGCACCACTCGTCGCAGCCAGGCCCTGCTAGACGCTGCAACGTCTGGCGGGTTAGTGTCTTGGCCATGGCCCGTGAGGATCCACATCAGAGGCTTACCCACTAGACGGTCTACTCTACGGCTTGGTGCACACAGTCAGCCTAGGCCGGTGAGAGACGACCGTTGTACAGCCCACCTTGACTTATTTGCGAGCCGTAGAGTGAAGGATGCTGCAATAATGATCGGTATCTAAATATAGATAAGCTCATGAGTGACACTCTTCTTCGGATTTGAGCACCGGCACCGGCGGCTCATACTGTCTGAGCGTCTTCCATTCTGCGGTTTCGACTTTGGAGCGCTGACGCGGACAGGAACGCGTCAGAAGATACAGCCAGAAGCGCTAATAATTGTACAAACCCACAGTATAAAAAATTCGACAGCCTTGTTCGGATATATCAGTAGACCTAAACGGGCTTTACCATTCCCGTGTATCGAAAGGTGGCTCAGCGGCTTATGGTAGTGTGATAGATCCCCTGCGACATGCATCGCGAAGACCAATGCTCAAGTAGATCATTTCCCCTGCCTCCGGCACTGCCGACGCCATATAAGAATGCCGGATTGCTAATCACAAGGGCTCGCGAAAATCTGCTAGTCTGGTCCACCTTGCAGTAGTTGAGCGGCGCCACGACCGCACTTTATCTGCGGCCTACTGATGGAGTCTACGTTGACAGTCGCTCGAGTCCTGCTCCTACTATCTCCGACGATGATCAAGGTGGACTTTTCATGGGTGAAAAGAAGTGGGCTGATCGGCTGGGGTGGTGGTTAGGCGCGCATAAAGCTGGATCTTCGCCTAACCACGAAAGCGCTTGGCATTGGCCCCCAAATGTCTTCTTCTGGCGGTAAACCGCGAAATCTGTACTCCGGTCCGGGATTTACGCGCTAACCAGAAGGCTTGAAGGAAGCTTGGCAACACCGTTTATATGTCTTCGTTTGGCCTAAAATGCGAGGAAGGATTTGTTTTATACTCCGGTCCTGGCCTGCGACCTATAACACAGCTTTTACTGATGGAGGTGCGTAACCCTACGATCCTATTGGCACTGTCATCAAAAAAGTGTTTTACTCAAAGATGAGCGCATATTCAGCTATGAATCGGAGATGCGCGATTGCATTGAGCGGGCACTGGAGTATATCTCTATGTAGAGTATTGGCACGTTCAGTCGTAGCCCGGGCTGTCTAGATCAGATCCAGGGCGATAACCACAGATGATTCAGGGCGTTCGCCTCGGATGATGCAAGGCAGCCCCAGCCAATGCGAGATGACTCGTAGTCGCGATATCTCTCGCGAATGCCAAGCTTTGTGGCTTTGGCTAAGAAACGGGCTCGATTCTAGAAGCCGCTCGGCTAAATCTTCGAAGCAAGCCTATTGCAAGTTGGCCAATCGAGTCGACGTTGGACGAAGCGATGGTAGTAGCGTCAGGTTACGCCCGACAATATGTAAATGAAAGAACCGATTCAACAACTGAAGCAGTAACTCTCAATCATGAAACACAGGTTTGTGTACAGCTCTCCAATGCTGCTGCTGATCTGTAGAAGCCAAGGACTCTAGATGGCATGCCGTGGATTTCGAACAACGTCGTAACTTCGTGGAGGGATAGGGTAAAGAAAGATGTTGCAATGCAGCAGGCTGCGATGCAGAAACGGCTAATGGACCGAAAGGCTGGCGATCTAGATCATAGAACCGCAGGAAGGTACAACATCCTAGACCAGGGCTGTGCTATGAATTTCTTGTGAGATGAGGCGGGAAAGATAAGCCGCCAATAGGGATAGTAGGAGGTGCACTGTGTAGCGATAAGACGGTATGCGTGCAATGCTGGCTGACTCGCTTGGAAGTTTGATGGGAGGCCTGCTGTTACCCCCGTTTGTTCGTGCCGCGAAAAGAAACCTTTGTTTGCGGCGATGTGTGACAAATTGACTTCTCATGTGTACAAGTGATCAGATCGACAAGGAAAAGGGGGGCCGAGAAGCGCCTCACCTTGGGACTGCCTGAGTCTGCCTCTCAAGGCGTACCTCGAAAACGAAGATGTGTATAATTACGTTGCGGCCGCGAGCGCAAGCGCATTGCTCTGAGTTGACGGCCAACCCGACACGTCTTATTAAGAGCACGAACCGCAGAGACTCGCCAGTAGATTTCACGTGTAGCAAGGTTAACCCCTTATCGAATTAGAATCGAAAGCGGTGCGACAGAAGATAGTCCGGTGTATCCTTGAAGCTCCTCAGAGCTGTTCTTCTCTAAGAGAATGAATTGACAGACATATAGGCAAAAGTTGGAACCAACTTCATGGGGCAGAGTCAAGACAGATTGAAGCATGGCTCCCTAAACCAGGAATGTCTTTGGCGCACCAATGTCTAGGAAGGCTGAGTCTTCATATTCCTTCCTGTAGTAAGCCTCGACTTGTGTCCATGGGTGTTCTATCATGCTAATTCCGTTCCAAACCCGACTTGGTCATCATTTCCCCGCTCGTGCCCTGGATTCAGATCAACAGTGACTACGCGTACACCACCAGTCTTTGTATACACTGGCGGAAGATAGAGTGGCACACCTTATCAGAGGCCTCTTTTCGAAGACATTGTGACCGAAGCCAATAAGTTGTTGGAGCGTTTGTTGAAATCCACGCCGCCCAACGGCTTCTAGAAATTGAGCTTTTAGGGCTATGTCGCCAGGACCGCAAAAACATGGCAAGACAGAGGAACGCAACATTAGCATGAGCTCATGCGGCCTAAGGATTGTCGTCTCATATCTCGCAGAGTATAGAGATGAAGTATTGATCGTTGTTGCGCTAACCGTGGTAGATTCGACGTCGATGGCCGCTATCATGGGCAATAGTCTCCGGCAACGAGGCACTGTCTTCGTGGGTTGCAGCGGAGAAAGCCAAAATTGACATCAATTAGGTAGGAGAACATAGTCTAAGAAGGTCGTCGCTGTCGTGGGCCGCCGTTGAAAGGCAATACTGACGCCGTTGGGGCTTGCAGGGTTGAACGTCAGGCATCGACGATTCGCGCTTCGCTTAGGCTGACCCTGTTTTGCGGTTGCCCCAGCGAGGGTGAACCAGCGCCGTCATAGCGCGTCCCTTTCTTCTCCCACCAAGACAGCGACGAGAGACATCTACAAAGAGCACACAAGACACGCGCCGTGACGCGGCCAGACACTGCAGATATGCAGAGCCAGCAGCAACCGCCCGCGCCCGCTGCAGGCGCAGGCACCGGCACGCCCCGATCAGCGCGACAAACAAACACCGACGCGAACTTCCTTTCACACCCGCTGAAGCGTCTCTCGCTTCATACGCCTACAAGACCGCACTCGCCGAGCCTCAATTCGCCTAGACGCCCCGCAGAGCCCGGCCAAACTCCCTCGTCACCCAACCTGCCTCCACTGTCCATCCGCCGCAGCTCCAGTGTGGTCAGTCTGAATCGCTCGCAGTCGCCAGCCCTGGCGAGAAAATCGTCAAGCTCTTCTCTTCGAGGCGACGCGCCTGGCTCTCCTCGAGGTGCTCCTTCCCGACGATCTTCCTTCAATCCGAACATGCCCTCGCCTATCGGGGCGAGGAGCCCGTTGCAGCCGCCTCCAGAAGAGAAGCTGCCATTGCGCGCGTGCGATGTAGCTGAGGAACACTTCAAGAAAGAGCTGTTGCGGCATGAAGGCGTAGCCGGGGCTGTCAATGCAGGCACTGTTGTCATTGTCCACGATCAATGCTACGGCCACCGCTATTCCCGACCAAAGACGCCGAAGAGCACCCTGAGTCTTATCATGGAGCGACCAGAGAGGATATTAGCCAGTGTACTGGGTATATCAGCGGCCTATGTGCGACTAGGAGAGCGCCATGCCGATGGAAATCATCCCCCACACCCAGATCACAACCCACCAGAGCGCATACCTTTTAAGATCCGCAAGACTTCGCGACTGGTCGACATTACCTCGCCAGTCGTGACAAATGTACATGGAACAGCGTGGATGAATGAGCTCAAGTCGTTGTGTGACAATGCGGAGCGCAAGCTAGCGTCAACAGGGAAAGAGCTGGCTAGGGATGCACCAGGACAGGCATCGAAAAAAGAACTTCATGCAGGTGACCTGTATCTATGTTCCGAGTCTATGAACGCCTTTCAGGGTGCTCTTGGGGGTGTTTTGGATGCTGTAGATGCCGTGTTCCAAGGTACCAGCATGGGAAACGGTCCCTCTCGAGCCTTTGTTTGCGTTCGCCCACCCGGCCATCACTGCTCCGCCGATTTCCCATCCGGATTTTGCTGGCTGAATAACGTTCATGTCGGCATCGAGCACGCTATGATGAACTATGGACTAACCCACGCGGCCATCATCGACTTCGATTTGCATCACGGAGACGGCTCGCAGGCTATTACATGGGCACGCAACAAGAAAGTCCAGAACATGTCGAAGAACACGCCTAACTGGAAGAAGACATCAATTGGGTACTTTAGTTTGCACGATATCAACTCTTATCCGTGCGAGGATGGCGACGACGACAAGGTTCAGGCGGCCAGTCTTTGCATCGACAACGCACATGGACAGTCCATTTGGAATGTACACTTGCAGTCCTGGAAGACCCCAGAGCAGTTTTGGGCACTCTATGAATACAAGTACACGGTGCTCCTCGAGAAGACGCGTCAGTACCTTAGGTTCCACACAAACAGGCTTCGGACCACACCCAATCACCCAAGCCCGAAAGCGGCCATCTTCTTGTCTGCCGGCTTCGATGCCAGCGAATGGGAGACTGCAGGTATGCAGCGCCATTCTGTCAACGTGCCCACCGAATTTTACGCTCGATTCACTCGGGACGTTGTTCGTCTGGCGGGAGAAGAAGGCACCTCTGTGGATGGTCGCGTCATTTCTGTTCTGGAAGGTGGCTACAGTAATCGGGCCCTATCTAGTGGAGTTTTTAGCCATCTGAGTGGTCTTTGTGATGGGCAGGTGTGGACGGATCCAAAGCCATCCAAGGGTCTGGCGTTCGACATGCGTCAGCGACTCGGTAGGTTGAGTATGCACGACGAAGACACGCCCATGCAGTCAGTCGAAGAGGAACCCACACTCACTACCTACGACCCTCTATGGTGGCATGCAACGCAGCTCTCTGAACTGGAGAATCTCGTGGCTCCTCCGCTAGCGGTTGCGCCGAAGAAGCCGCGTACTGGTCCCGTCTCGCACTTTTCTTCTCCGACGCAATCTTTCGCGGCCAAGGTAGTCGATCCCTCCAAGCTCAGCCGCAGCCTCTCTGGAAAATATCCTTCCAGTCCTTCTCGAGCGCCAACGCCTCCTCCACCTGACGTCGATTGGGCTACTGCCGCCCATGCTCTGAGTAAGCTATTAATTCCGTCGGATCGACAGACTCATAGCCACAAACCGGAAGACCTAGCTGAACCCAAGGTCAAGAAGGAGAAACCAGCTGTTCCAGCCGTGTCATCCACACACGTCGAATCGTCAGGTCGACAGCTGCGTGGTCGCAAGGCCGCCCCGTCGTATGCCGAGCCGGGCTCCGACGATGAGAAGGCGTCTCTACGTGCGGACTCGACGGCCAGCAGGCGAAAAACGATCGCCGACTTTCCTTTAGCCTCGGTAGAAGCTCCAGTACAGGCCCGTTCTGTCTCGCGCCGGATGAGCATCGCATCCAGCGTGTCATCGATTGGTGACAGGAGTGTTAGCCGTGCACCAAGCGTCGCGGCGAGCAGACGGAGTGTAGCGCCCACGACAGCTCCTACTACTGGCATCCCGGCAAAGAAAGCCAGAGGGACTACAGCGACTACAAGCTCTCGCGCAACTCAACGCCCGCCGGTACCACGGATACCTTCGAATTATGCGAGCAAGACGGCTGTAGCAAAGGGCAAGGAGAACGACGGCGTCGATGCACTTACTTCCGGTTTGAAGCGTATTACGTTGAAGATGCCTTCGAGGGAGGAATATGAAGCTCGCGAGAGAGAGAAAGAGGAGAAACAAAAGGCTGCAGAGGCCACAAAGAAGGCTACAGCGAAGACGACTACGAAGAAGGCGCCCGCAGTCCGTACAACGACGACCAAAGCAGCTGCCAAACCTGCCACAGCTAAGAGAGGACCCGGTCGTCCACCGAAGACATCCAAACCTGCATCACCAGTCGAAACGAAAGCGCCTACTCCTGTGCCTGAGGTGCCCCAGTTACAGAGTGCAGCGACGGCACCTCTGGAGCAGCCTCAGCCCGTACAGCCTGAGTCGACTTCACACTTGGTACAAGCTGCTCTACCGCAGCTTGCTCAGAAGGTTCAAGCGGTTGCAGAGGCTCCCACAGTGGACCGTCGCACTTCTGGCGGGATCATGGAGCCGCCGACCGAACTTGAAGAGATGACGATGACGCCCGAGCAGCTTCGTGAGCAGCTGCCCATGCCATCGTTCGTTACTGTGACTGAGCCATTGCCCGTCATTTCCCCGCCTCCTCGCCCCGACACGCCTCCGCCGCCGCCGCCATCGAGCATGCCAGAGTTTGTCAACTACACAAGGCAGTCCTTTGGCGAATCTCACGGGGCGCCTGTTCAGACGGGTACGCCAGAGTCGCAAGCTTGGGCCGCTCCGAATTGGCGGGTCCCTCCCAAGACCGACACTACTCCTTCGTCGTCGACGACGGGATCTCGACCCATGTCGCCTGCGAGCAAGAAGGCAGACTTGCCAGTGTTTTCGGCGAATGGTGTGATTCCATTTGCATCGAGTGTGAATGCTGCTGCTGCTATGAACCCTAGTGCTATGGCGGGGTTCGTGCCTGGACAACAAGGTGCTGCAGCGGGTGTCAAGAAGGAAGAGAGCTCCAAGGACATGTGGGAGGTTCCTGACACGCCAGCTCGATGAGGGCCTCTGCGACGTGTCTTGGTAGTACCTTTCCTTGGAGCCCAGAGCGTAGACTGATGGGAGTTTTGGTTTCATACTGAAACACAAGGATGGCGTCTTTTTCATGATTATTGCCGTCTTTGGGCAAAGGGGGCTAGACTCGACGATACCCTGTCCCGGTTTTATTGGAGGGCTTCCTTTTCTGGCGTTGGATTGACTTTGGGCCCATTGTAAGCACACAGCTTGTTAGGCTGGTGTAGAGATACCCGGGGTGTTGAGCTTTGATACCATATTGATATTAATGCTTGGATACATTTGTTCTCACGCTGCCTTTTTTTTATACATGACGACGATAGCTATTCATCCTTTCCAATTCCAAGTCTTCTTTTTCGCCACGCAATTGATTCCCAAGCGCCCGTCATTCCCACCACCATGGCTTGCCCTCACAGTCCCCGCATCTGTGCCGCAGCTTCGTGCAGCACTGCAGTCACAAGGTGCAGGGGCGACGGGGGGCGGGAGCCAATGGCTAGCGGCCAAGGCCATCACAGGGCAATGTTTTAGTGCGGGGCAGCTACAGGACATTGGAGCTTGGACCCTCTTCTATGCAAAGGCGATGACGTGCGTGCGTGCCTTGGACGGCCTGGGGGGAGAGACGGGCGGGCCTTGATTGCTGCGAAACGCCCGACAGCGGGCTACTACGAGAAGGAATGGCGTGACTTGCCGCGGCTGCCTGCTATATATGTATATATATATATATATATATATATATATAATATAAGCACTGAACCCGCCTACCTACCTGCCTTCCAAGTTGGCTGTGCGTGCTGCTGACGGCTTCTTTGTTGGTCAACACCTATCTCCTCAGCCCGTTTCCATCACCCCCTCCCCCATCATCACCATCACCACCACCACCACCCTCTCCAACTTCCTCCCCCAACACCACTGCAACCCCAGCAAGCATGTCTGAGCCCGCAACCACCAGCGGCGGCCACCGCCTCAACCCCTTCGCCCGCCGCGACGACTTCTCCTCGCAGTCGATCCTGTTCTACAAGATCAGCACCGCAGTCAGCTACCTGCTCCTGCTCGTCACAGCCTTCTACTACTCGTTCAACAAGCCGCACGAGGGCCACCACCCGCACGGCCGCTTCTGGCAGCACAACTACTCGACGCCCTTTGCCCAGAGCAAGGTGATTACCAGCATCTACTGGATCGTGCTGTTCATCCTGCAGCTGGGCTACTCGTGGTCGCTGTATGCGTCCAACACCGTCTACGTCACGGCCGCAGCCAACATTGGCAGCCACTTCGTCGCCAACAACCTGCTGCTCTTTGGCTTCATCCACCTGTGGGTCCGCAGCCACTTCTGGCTGGCCTTGCTGCTGATTGTCGTCAACTTCTTCAACCTGAGCGCTGCCTACTTCCGCCACAGCACCACGCCGCGTCTCATCCATATCGCGACTGTCAGTGGCCCGCTGGCCTGGAACTTTGCTGCCCTGTACTGGGTCGGTGCCGTCGCTGTGCACTCGAATCACCTGGCTGCACGCATCGTGGCCAATGTCTTCATCTGGGGCTGGTTGGGATATGGAACTTTCTTCCTGGCCGCGTACAAGGACTACACGATTGGCTTTGCGCTGAGCGTGCTGTCATTCTGTAAGTCTTCTTTCCCCCCTCGACATTCAATCACTAACCACCTCCAGCGACCGGTGTTGGCCAGTTTCTCACAAAGCCCCACCTCTTCCAACTCCAGTGGGTCTTCGCCTTTACCGTCGGCGCTCTGCTCTTCGTGCTCTCCGTCGCTGTGGGCGTTCCCGGCTTGTTGGGCCGCGACCCCTTCCCGCGTGGCCAGATTGTCAGCGAGGACCGCGAGAGGGCGCCCTTGTTGGCTGACGAGTAGGCTGGAGTAACATGTCCACGAAATTCAAAGTGCGACTATGTGTGGGAACGAGACGATGGAACGTTTGAGCAGAAGAAGAGTAGAACACTTCGGTTCTTGATAGTATTGCATATGCCTACGCAAAAGAAAAGTTCGGCTGAAATCTGGACATGGGGATTGGCGACGCTGACCGCGGCTTGACGATGAGTACGGGCATGACATTCGTAAATCTTCCTTCCTAAATCTCCCTTCCTTCGTTTGCATTGGAGTTCAAGGCAGTTGGGGGCATGGGCGATTTTGATAAATTCGTTCTGCAATTCGTTACTTTCCTTGACGTTCACGCATGTGTATGACATTGCTAAGATACCCTACGTATTAAGTAGCTTGCCTGTCAATGCTTTGATGCTTTCTACCCTCTAGTATATCGGCTACTATCTCAACTACGTTTTGATTCACTTCTCGCTCATCAGATCTACCCCCACGCCCTGCAGCGCCGTAACAGCCCACTTGGGATACCTCTCCTTCTCCCACTTGTACAGCTTGCCAAAGAAGTCTTTCACAAACTGCGGGTATCGGTCTTCCAGGATCGCTTCTCGTGCCAGCCTCATCAGGTTGAGCTGGTAGTGCACATTGTGCATGGTGAGTAGATGCGCCCCGGCGGTTTCCTTGGCCGTGACGTGGTAAATGTACGCGCGGGTTAGGCCCAGGCCGCCGTCGGATATCGGCCGGCAGCAGGTGCATTGGCAGCCTTGTTCGATGGGGGAGAAGTCTTCCGAGTAGACTGCGTTGCGGAGGTTGAGCACGCCGCTGGACGTGATTGCGTTGCCGAAGCGCTGAGAAGTACATGTTTAGTGGAGGTTAGATTTTGTGGTTTTAAGGGGATCGCTTACGGCGGTTCTGGTCGGCCATACGCAGTCGAACATGTCTGCGCCGAGGGCGACGGAGACGACTAGGTCTTCGGGGTATCCCTATCTGATTCAGTATCATGCAAGCTTCCAAGGGAAGCGTCTTGTAGCCTACCACACCCATGACGTATCTGGGCTTCTTCTCCGGCAGCAGCCCAGTACACAGATTCACGACGCGACAATACGAGTCCTTTTCTTCGCCGCCCGACAAGCCGCCAATCGCAATTCCAGGCGTGTCTCTCGCCACCATCTCAGCGGTACATTCCCTCCGCATCTCCAGATCCAGGCCGCCCTGTATAATGCAGAACAGGTTCTGCCTCTCTGGGTACTTGTGCGCTTGTATGCAGCGGTCGAGCCAGCGCACCGAGCGCTCCATGGCCTCCTTCATGCGCGCGTGGTCGGGCGACGTCGTGGCAATCACGTCGTCGAGCTGCATTATGATGTCGGAGCCAATCGAGTTCTGCAGGGAGATGGAGTGCTCGGGCGTGAGCAGCATGGGCGACCCGTCGTGCGGACTGAGGAAGCGCACGCCTTCTTCTGTCACTTTGGCGAGTTGTAGTAGCGAGACCATTTGGAAGCTGGGCGGGCGCGTCAGCTCGTTCGTCGAGAAATTGGGATGCGAGGCAGAACCCACCCTCCACTATCTGCGGAGTGTCAGTTAGCTCCTATTTGGGCTTTTTTTCCTTTTTCCATTCAGGATGGACTGTCGTAGGCACCTGTGAGTATATTGTGCGGCCATGCCTGCAGCTTGTGTGCGCCCCCTATCGCATCGAGCGTGGCTTGTCCTGGCTTAAGACCACTTCGCGCACAGTCAGCGATGACATGCGCCCTTTGTCGGGAGAAGAGTGTCGTACAGATGGTACGTGTTGTTTAGACATAGCCGGCAGCCCTGATCTTCCAGCTGGTCTGGCGTGAGACCTTTTAGCGAAGCCTGCGTCGCGACGGGCATGAAGATGGGGAGGGGCACGGGGCCGTGGGGTAGATGGAGCGTCGCGGCGCGCGCTTTTGTGACCTGGTGCGTTGCTGTTAGAGAGTGTAGATTTAGGGGAGATTGAGATTGTACCGAGCATTTCCCTAGCAGCTCGAATGTGAGCGCCGAGGGCATGGGGACTGGCGCCATGGTGTGTTGCGGGGAGAAAAGGTCGCTTGCTTGATATGAATGACATCTCGAAAAGTTGAGCAGGGATCCGAGATAAGGTTTAGTTCATTCGCTTAGCGCTATGCTTATTAGCTTTCCCGCATCTTAACTCCATCCATCCACTCCTTCGACTCCTGCTTGGTATCTAAAGAAGAACAGCTGAAGTAATAACTTGACTTCGAGCTATATTTCGCACTCTGCTCACGAAGCAGGGCATGTAAGAGTAGTGGGGTCCGGTTTCTAACCAACCGCATATACTCTGTGCGACCCGTATAGTACAGCGTTGTGTACCACTGTTGTGTACCTATATTTCTTTGTTTGAAAGTAAAGTCAACGCTAGAGCGGATTATACAAAATGCAGTAGGAGGAATTGGTATAAAAGCATTTTTTAAGTGCTATAACTAGCACCTTAACATAGCATTATCGAGACCGAATGTATTACTACTTAAAGATTGTAGCAACGTAACTAGGTTTATTGCTTGGCAATTCTAAAAATAAAAGTACGCAATATACAGTAAGATATTAATAACGTAAGCCATTAATGACACATTAGGTCCCGTCTCCGCGAGTTGTGTACCTATATATATAAGATGATTCTCAGCCCCGCTATTCAACGTCTCTTATCTACTCCCCAGAGCTCTTACCCGCATCATGAACGGCATGGATGAAAGCACTGAGCGACTCAGCCTTCCATTGATTGGATCAGATGAAGAACCATCCAGGTCTCAGCAGACAGTTGAGCTCCAACTTCTATACGACCGCCCTGACATTTCAGCCGTGCCCTCTACCGATGACGCGAGTGCGCAGATGTCGAAGGAGGCGTCATTACCTGAAAGAAAACGTCCCAACGTCGTGTCAAGACTGTGCACATGGGTGCATCGGCGGTTGACACTTGTTCTAATGCTACTACTACCTTCGATTGGTAAGATTCCGACCTATTTCGACAGACCTAGACTCACACACATAGCCCTACTTTGTGCCATCGGCCACTATGGGTTCTTCCACTCCCTTGACAAAACCTTGACACAACATCGGCGGATCCGGCAGTCGCACGTCACTACGATATCGTTGGTCCTTACAACCGTCTTCAAGGCATGCATTGTTGGGGCCGTCGCATTGTCATTTGCACAGCATTTATGGCGTAACCTCCGCGAGGAGGCTCATACAATAGGTCGGATAGAGCAATTGTTCTCCCTACGATCTAATCCATTCGAGCTCACACGACTGCGAGCGTCTTGGGAAGCACCTTTACTATTCTCGATGGCTATTTTCACGTGGCTCATACCATTGGCCGTGATATACCCACCATCTGCTCTCACTGTATCCTTTCGGGCATACTCGACGAACAAGGATCTCTATGTGCCAGTTCTGTATCCTCTAAATCCTAGTTCCAACCTATCTGATGATATCGGACCGGCTAATCTCCGCTTGTACAATGTAGACCGGTCTGCACTTGATCACATGAGTATGACTTACACGTAGGTTGCTCACCTCCCTGTTCCGTATACACTTATTTACGCAATCAGACGGCCGAATGAATCTTTGTTCAGACCAGCCGAGTCGATTCTAATCTCGGGAAAGATACTGGATTTCCCCTCACCAGCCGGAGAAAACTCGTCCTACACTCTAGAATTCAGAGGCCCACAATTGGAGTGCGATGAGAAGACTATTGATAGTGATGACCCCGAAAAGTTTACTAAGAATCACTCACTTACACCGTTTACTATTAACTGGGTACCAACGAAAAACTTAACGATAACCCATTTGCAAGATCTGCGTTGGTACCCGCGTTCTGGCCAACCATGGACTGGAAATCGTACTGTCACGTATATGGGCACTGCAAACGTGCTAACATGCAAACCAGTCTCAGTACTATACAGTATGGACGTGTCATACCTGAAGGGTGTCCGTCAGATTGCTTATACCAAGCACGATCCGTATCCTCTTCGACCTAGAACATCCCTTAGATTTTCGAACCAGTCAAAACAAAGTTCCACAAGCTTGGGGACTCCCGATAATTCGGACCTCGTTCTCCCTAATCTTGAAGCTTGGAATAATCAGGTAAAGCAACATTTGGACATCTGGACTGAGTGGTCTCTAATGATCACTACGCTCCGGCCCTTGGAGTTCTCCTGCGAAAATGATGAATTCTTGAGTGATTCGGCAAGAATTACGCTACGAAACGGAACTGAAGTTTCCGGTATGAAGTTAAGGCCATGTTTGTGTCAAACGATATATAGTAAGTAATATCCATTCGCCTCGCCGTGGGGCTATGCTTACCACAGTTGTACAACCTTAGCTCCCTCCCTTCTTAGTAGATCGATTTTCAACAAACGACGGGATATTAACGATGTCCTCCGTAATAATATAGGTATATATGAAGCCCGCGATTTCAACCTCACCGAGCAGACCATGAATGAGTACATCGCCAACGTCACCATATCTGCGCTCACTCTGAAAATCGGAAAGAACAAAACCCAGGTAAACGTCACCGAATACCACACGACCTACGACTTTTCCGCACCCATCAATCTCATTTTACCCTACGCACTTTCTCTAGCAATTGGCATAGTGTTCGTGGCCATTGGGATCTGGTCTTGGTCGCAGAACGGAACTTCAGCATTTGATGGAGGCTTCCTGCAGGTCATGGCCACCACCGTCGGGCGGACGCAGATGGAGGATCTCGCTATAGCACACCAAACAAGTAATAATGGAGACTACAAATCCAAAGAGCTAATGGATCTGAGAGTCCGGTATGGGGAACTAGTAGATGCCGAAGGTGTAGGTACGGGGCTAGCGGCTTTTGGGACGATAGAGGAGACGAAGATGTTGAGGAAAGGCTGGCACTCGGGATAAATCCGATATGTTTCTTATGCATATCTAACAGTAAGTATAAAAGAGCCTATGCTAAGCACCGTTTATGTGTGTCGAAAATTCAATAAAGGTGTTACTTTTGCTTAAGAAGGCAATAGACTTCCTCAACGTTTATCATTTGTTACCACTCAGCATATAACTAAAATGCTCGCCATTGTGTCGAACTCGTGTCTGACACATCGCAGTGCGATATAGATTTATCAAACCCGACTCCCCGGCTTCATTTCTATAAGCTACGCAATCCTGCCACTCTACCAGTCAATTGCTAGTCTCCCGCCCTCATCGAAAACGGAAGTATCGAAATCCCTTTTGTGTAAGCTTCGAGCTTCTTCCAGCACGGCATGATCAGTCACATTAACATCCCCATCAACACTCCTTCTTTTGAACGGTTTAGTAAACTCGTTTGGCCAGTCCGGGCCACCTCGATACCACCAGCTCTTCCACCAGATAAGCGTATCAGGCACGCTAAGAAGATTCTCCCCAATCGCATCGATTCTCGTGGCTACGCGATTTTTCCCATTACCATCTTTCCACTTATGATCTGCGTCCATTTTCAGTCGTGGGAACTCTTTTTGCTGCCATATCCCCGCTTGTTTGACCTTCCCCGTCCGTCCTCGTCGTATGTTCCTGTCCATGACCGCGACTTTGCCGCCGCACATGAATGCCATGCTGTCGGACATCATTTGGAAGTATGTATACCGGATTTGGTTGCGTCGTCCTGGATACACGTCGTCTTGGATGATGCAGCGCATGGGGTTGTCAACGTTCTTGTTCCAGGTGAATTGCTTGTCGGCCCAGATGAACTGCAGGCGCACGTATCAGTTGACTATGCTGACATAGCTGAAGCAGAGAATATCAGAACACATACCCAAATCGTGGTCAGTTTGTGACGCGACACTGCGTTATGCTCTCTAGCATAGGCTTTTGCTCTCTCCGATAACCCAGATGTGTAGAATAAACATTCATCAATTTCTGGTCGGGCGACTGCATTCGCAACAAACCACTGTTGGCCGTCAGTCAACATTGACTAAACGTTGCGTTTATATCTCGACTCACATCAAGAGTGTATTTGCAAGGCTGGTCACACGGCACAAAATTAGGCAGCTTCTCTTTTCCTTCGCATGGATCCTGGCCTTCATAGGTCAACCGCGTGCTGCACGAGGTGACCTGGCGTTTGTCATAATTCGCACTGGACGCAGCTTCTGCGGTGCGTTCTCGATGGCGGATTTTGGGAGGCGTTGAAACAGTGGCCGTTGTATTTGCGACAGTAACCGAATCGGTCTGGTTGGGAGCTACCAGAGGGAGACTCAAAAACAGCTCTTCCTGAGCTTTCTGGTTCACTGCAACTTCGTGGGCTGACTGAAGCTTTTGCAAGATATCTATGGCTATCTTATTGCCCTGGGGTAGCTTCACATCTTCGCAGCACGCGAAAGAGAAGAAGGCGATGCACGAGAGAAGAACGAATTGTAAGAAGTTCGCCATTGTGATAGGAATCTGAGGTGACGAGAAGCAACTTGCTCTACATCAGCAAGTGCGGACTGGTCACACAAGATAATATCTCGCAAAAGGCTAGAGCAGACATAAGCAGGTCCCAAGATTCGTATCCGTTGCTAGCCCTACTCATACCACATCAACAACGTTATCGCTACCATTCGGTAACTTGAAAATACCAACTACTGCATATAGAACTTACTCCGAGAATTCAGGCGCTTGAGCCGATTACCTCGTATTGGGCGCACCGGTTGCACTTAGCGATATTACGGTGAACGAAAGAGGCATCAGGTCAGACACCGCGTGATAGTTCTCTGGCTTTCTTGAGGATTTGTCAATAATCTTCCCAGTGATGTAGGATTGGTGGCTTGATGAACTCTCACGCGATGTATGAGAACATGAGATTACAGGAGGCCTTATTTCAGCTGAAGAGGCAGGTGTATGGTTCTATCCACGCCATATTGACAAGGTACGGCCCTTGTTGTGGCGCATTGTGGCCGCCTGCGAAAAGCCGAGGCCCGGTCGGTGACAACGTGACTGGGACAGCACTGACGAAATCACATGAAAAATGAATCCATCGGCCACAGCAACTGGGATTGAGAACTCTCTAGCTACCGGGGACCTGAGTTTGGGGGCGGATAATAGTGCTTACCTAAAGTAAGCTGTCGTACCTTTGTCTCCATGGGGTGACACACCATACCGCGGGGCTTGTTCCCGAATTGGGAAGAGCAAGGTAAGCTAAACATACCACCTCTATGTTCAAGATACATGTAGAGAGTATAGACTAGACCGAGCCACGATTTCCTTTCCCACCAGAAACCTCGTTACATCCAAGCTCATGGTTTTACTTCCTCGCATCGTAGCAGCGGTGGTCGTCGCATATTCCTGTCTGCAGCCATCCTGTGCCTCTACAGTGACTGTCCGTCAGAATGGTGTCAAGCTCATGATTGTAGGAGATTCAATTTCTCATGGAGCTGAGGGCGACTGTACGTATGCCTCATGATCTTCTTTCCAGTTTGGTAGCTTTACTGATAATCACATTCAGATACGTGGCGATATAGGCTCTGGCAATGGCTGCGTGCAAACAATGTCAACTTCAATTTTGTTGGTCCCTGGCAAGGTACTTTCGAACCTGCGGAACCAGCTCCCCCTCAACCTCCTCTTCTCCAAGGGCAAGCAGAGCCAGTTACACCTGACCATGTCAAGGGAGGGTACGCCCTGGACATTGACCCTGCTTTCGACAAAGACCATTTCTGTCACTCGGGTCGCCAAGCAGCTCAAGTGAAGAACACTATTGCCGCACAAATCGCAACTTATCAACCTGACTATGTGCTAATTGAGCTCGGCTTCAATGACTTAGGTTGGTGGGTTAGTGGACCAGACGGGCTGCTAGTGGATATGAAGACTTTGATCGACAATGCCCGGGGTGCAAAGAATAATATCAAATTTGCAATTGCAAATGTACCACATCGCACGCGAATCAACGGGCGCCAGGACTTAATCGACAACACAAACAATTACAATGCTAAGCTGGCTTCAGCGATACAATCATGGAGTACCTCAAACTCGCCGATAAAGCTGGTAGGCTTTAATGAGAATTATAAATGTATGTTTTACTTAGTCCTCTGAATCATGTTACGTGCTGGACACATTTTACGGTTTTACCAGGCTCTTTGGCTAATCGTTGTAGGTGGGCCTGATAGTTGCCCAGCTGCATTTGATGGATTGCATCCAAACAGGCTCGGAGAATACGAGATTGCGCAAGCATTCTCGCGCGTACTCAATCGCGATTACGGATTTGGATCAAGCGCCCTCGATGTTCCCGCCAACATTCCACCTGCATCATGTCCTCCGCCAACCAACGTCAAGGCTACAACAGCTCCGTACGGTGTCACTGTCACCTGGGACCACGTATACGGCGCTCGTGGATATAATATCAAGAGCAAGAGAAGTAGTTTTGGGGACTGGTCCGAGACCTGGTATGCCATATCAACGAACAGATATAATCAGATCTGGGTTCTCGAGGGAGAGACATGGGAGTACCAGATTCGGACCACCTGCGGAGACGCCTCAAAGTCTGATTATTCGGGTGTCGCCTCGGCAGTTGTACACCAAACCGTGGCACCTGGACCAAAGAACGTTGTTGTCAACCCGACCCAAGATGGCTTTAGTGCCCGATGGGACCCACCGGATGGCGGCTTCAATATAAAGCTATATGAGGTGTTCACCTATGACATTGATGGGGGTTGTGTTTTCCTCCTGTCGAGGGGTATAAAGGGAAACTCAATTACAGTAAACGGCCTTACGAAGGGACATAGACATGTCATTGCAGTAAGCACCTGGACGGACCTGGGACCTGGATTCCCAGCAGTACCCTTTCAAGTTATTCCTGGCTCTGGAATGCCAGGAACGCCCCACGACCTGAAAGTGGCAACCAAAGACGGTGCCACCGTCATACTGAACTTTTCTGGCGGCGGGGGCGCCGCCGGTTACCATGCATGGACTCGAAACATTAACAATGCTTCTGACTTTTCGAAGGCAGACCTCACAACTGTCAACGAGCCTTGCATAGGTATCACCTTTCTTTTTCCAGGCGCTTGGAATTATGAGTTCTGCGTTACAGCGTTGAATGGTACGTGAACCGCAATGCAGATTACACGGGGCATTTACTGACCACGCGTCTAAATATTCAGGTAACCTAGAAAGTCCCAAATCGAATTGCGTAATTGCTTCCAAGGATATAACACCCGGTGTAGGTGATTGTCCAACCCCTGCTCGGCCTAATTGCGGCTGGGGAACACCCGGTAATGGTGGTGATGGCAGTGGTCAGCCAGGAGAGCCCGGAGGCGGCGGCGGCGGCGGAGGAGGAGGAGGAGGAGGAGGAGGCGGTGGTGGTGGGGGTAATAACGGGGGAAGTGGTGATGTCTACGTTGACCCTGCCATCTGGAGATCTCCAAACCCCCATGTTACCTGCTCCGCGCCGTGCAACTTCATCCTGCCCCCAAAGACTTTACCAACCCAAACGACCATTACACTACCACCCTACACTACCGACCTGGAAATTGTGTGGACCATCAGCGGTAAAACTACTCGATCTTTCAAAACCACCACGATCACTCTTCCACCAATTACTACGCAAACAATCTCGTTCTGGGATCAGTCATATCCTCCCGGCCCTGCCTTCACATTCAGCCCTGTCCCTCGCATTGGCCCACCACCAACTGCAATTCAAAACGACAAGAACCCCGAAGTCACACGTACAATTACTCCAGTTCCATACCCGACTGTGAAGCCTGAAGAGAACAGTGATGATGACCGTCATTATGGCGGACCACATCCACCCATCACGATCGACATTGGGCCTCCAGGCCCCATTTGCTCTGCAGGATGTGGCTCACCCTGTTTTGGTTGTGGCCCCGGTCTTAAGGGTCCCTGTATCCCCTTAATCAACTGTCCAAGGGGATCAGGTTTCCAAGACCCCCAGGACCCAGACAAAGACAACGACGATGACGATGACGATGACGACGATGACGGGCCTAAACCAATCTGCCCCTTTGGACCCCAAGAAGGGCTACCTGCTGTCAACCCGCGGAATCTTGGTCCGAATGACCAAGTTGATATTCACTACAACGGATATCCTGGCCCAAGCGATGAGGATCAGGCCAACCCGCCAGGAGGAGGCGTCCCGCCTCCTCAATCTTCAAGCAAGCCTCCATCGCCACCTACTCAATCTCCGAGCAAGCCCCCATCTACACCTTCTCCATCTCTAACTCCAACTCCAAGCAAGCCTCCAACTCCCCCGCCGGCCACTCAGCGTTTCTGGGTTTTCTATGTGAACTACATTACCGAAATTGAAAACGCATACGAGTGGCAGTTCTTCAGCATTCCCTTATCGACGACATCATGGAGTGTGTGCGATACCGAAAACGCTGTTCAATGTTCGGAGGCTAATACCTGTCGTCGAGCACCCGACGGCAAGTTGACAGAGCCACCGTGGCCAAATGGCAGATACACTGCAACCCGTGGACCTGCAGATGACTGCGTGTACCAAAGCGATGGGAAGGGACCAGGTACTCTTAACTGTCCGAACAAGTCCACGGTGACTTGTAAGCGGGCGGAGAATGCTCAGGAAATCAAATGTCCACCTATAACGTTTGCGGAAAATTTCTATGCCGTAGCGACCTGCGATTGGTGAGCTAGATGAATAAGGCGCGAGGAGAGGATTCGCTTGTAATTTATTTGATCTCGTATAATACTATGATCGTGACTGGAGTTGCGGAGGAGCTCACTACCAATATATGTTTTTCCTGCCACCGAACTTGTCAAACACAGCAGGGAAATCAGGGTCGTTCATTTGGAGTATCTTCTTCCTTACTGTTTCAAGCGACTCGCCGAAGAGGTTTTGGCCCCATTGCTCCCTGCCCGCTTGATCTGCGGTAGCAGCTCCGGACCCAATCCCGAAAAGTCTGTCCGATGGAGAGGCGAAAACAAGCTCGCGTGATCCTAGAGCTAGAAGCCAGTTTTGAAGATCCTCCGATTTCTTGCCCTCGAAGAACTTCTTCATGTTTGCTCGTGTGGCAATCATGAGGGCCTCTGTATCTAATTAGCGCATTCCGGGTTTCACAGGCGCAGATATGACGGCATCGTGGAAACTTGCGTACAGTGCACGCTGTAAAACGCACCTTTCTGCCATATTTTCTCGTCAAAACCCTTGACGTTGCTGCCCCAAGTCTTCTGTTCATCTGCACTCTTCGCAGCAAGAATTCGTTGAAGAACTTCCTGCATTGCATTAGCGATGGCATCAATTGGACCACCAGGGTCAATACCTTGTCTCCGAAGACCCGCGCCTTTTCAGCCATGATAGCATGTCCAACAGACTCGTATGTGGATCCTTCCATTCTGAATTGAGACTTGTACCATGGCGAAAGAAAACCCCCCTCTCTTTCCGTCTCTTTCCAGAAAAAGAATGGGGGCTCGTTGGCTTCTGTGGCTGCTGACATACTCCTTCGCATGCTGGCGTCGATATCAACCCTATCGTGAGCTTTAGCGTTGGAACGGCCTTTGGCAGCAGTAGTCGGTTTTGTTGAGGGTTTGGGCTTAGCGACGACTTTGCGTTTTGCCTTGGGCATAGTGGTATTTCTCTAGAAGCGTTGTCCGGGAGCCCTGAAAGTGATATAAAGTAAGGATGCGCGAGGTTGAAATCAGGTAGCCTACTTCCAGGGTGCAGCTAATATACATATGCCGCTTACCTAGGCTCGAGACTCACATGATTGGTGTAGCCCCGAGCCCTGCTGCCTTATACGGCGCTAGACTCGACTTGTAAGCACGGCATGGAACCAAAGGAGGCTGTGTACACATTAATCGCCTGCCTACTTGAGAGCTATTGTTGCCGTATTAGTCAGACAGATTGTTCCTATAGGTTGACTGGCTCGATCAATTTGGAGTCTACGCGCATACTCTCCTTCGTTCATTCCCCTACAGTGTAATAGAGATCGAGTTGGTAGCTTTCGGTGTTGTTGCCTCGGACAAGAGGAGTGTGGCGCAAAGGCTCCGGCGGCAAGTCAGCTTTTAGCGTCAAGGACCTCGCTTATCTACAATTGGTCAACGTGAATGGTCCACCAAGAAGGCAAGCTTCCGTTAACCAATAACAACTAATACTACAGGTCACTTAGCAATAGGTGTATGTGTAGAACGCTCGGTATAAAGGCTGCCACTATTATTATCCGCCTTGTTAGTCCTGATAGCGCTGGATTTCGAATATCCGGCTAGGCAAGAATTTGTAAAGCTGCAAGTCACGAGCCCCGACGTGCTTGCGGAGTAGTCATCTAAATCGCCTTTTATCGCGTATATGATTCTTATTAGTAGATAACTAAATTGAGAAGCGCCGAAATGTGACAGAGAGCAGTTATTCGGTTCCAATGAATCAGCTGTGCTTAAGTCTCGCAAGCGATCGGGATCAGGATAGAATTCAACAAATCAACGATCCAAGTGTCTAAGTCTTAGAAGTAATACTTTACACTGGGTAGCACTAAGTGGAGACTATGCTTAGATAGCAGGTGATGTATTGTCTCTTACAGGCTCACGATAGTATGTGCCTAGAAGGATGCGCTATACATTAGTCGATCCTGAATCAAACACCGTAGGTATCTGGGGTCGAATATTATTTTGTCGAGTCTGTAGGCCTTGAGTACTGTAGCAGCACATAGTAGCGCTCTAGCCGCCCCTCGACCATCTACGAGGTACTGCAACTTTAGCATCGTGGCGCAACCTACAACAAGGCGACTTGGTGACTGTCCTGCATGGAGGCACGGTGCCCCATGTGCTAAGGCTTCAAAGGAAGCGTATTTCTCGTATGTGGGCGATTGTTACGTGCATGATATTATGAACAGGCAGGTGTATGGTATGCTCGCGGACGAAGGAGTCAAGCCGGGTGTGTTCGAGCTGCATTAGCTTTGGGCATTCGACATAGCACGCCTTTCTGACAAGTAGTAGCAGCCTGGATAGACGCTTGGATGCAGCTTTCGTGGGGCCGGGCGGTGTTGTCAAAGATAAATCGTGCATATGTCCATGGATGGTGGTCAAGCGCGTTGCCTGATGCGGTAGCTCAGGCGGAGCTTGGCCTTCGTCATGTGCAAATCCAAAGTGGACCAGCCGCGATATGCACCCCATGAGACGTAGGACTCACCATGCCTCGTGCACCCACCCCATTCTTCGCGCTCACACCTCATTCTTGGTGCTGCTCATGCCCTAGGCCGTCTCTGCCAGTCATGGAGACTCCACAGTTAGTCACCCGTCCATGGTGCGCATGCAGCGAGGTGGAGCCCGGTCAAGTGCGTGAAGAGCAGCGGCCGCGTGAGGTAGAAGCATAAAACAAGACCAACAGTCGTCCGAGGCCTTGCTTCCGCCCACTTGCTTCCCTTCACCCTCGAAGTGCACTCCTTCCGTTTTGTTCTGTTCTCTGCCGACTTGGGTGGAGATCTCGTTCGTGAAGATTCAGCATCCATGGTCAACCTCCTTGTCACCCCATGGCGGAAAGCAGACGCATCGGCAAAAGAGACACACACCGCGCCAGCCGCCTCGACAGATGAGAAGAGAACCCAACAGCCGCGCAGATGGAACTTAGGAATCCTGAGCGACCCACAGACGGATGAGGTGCCTGGTAAGAAAGACCATCTGGTAGAGTCCCCAACACGCGCGCCAGAACTAACCTCGACTTCTTCTTCTCCTAGGCTCTGTCATCCTCCTCTCTCGAACCCACAACCGCAACGAACCGCTGGGACTGCAACACGCGCACGCACGAACCTCTGCCTCATCCCTACCCTCTGTTTACGGTTCCACAAGAAGCGCCTCTCGTGGCTCCCCCCAGCCGTCACGCTCGCATTCCCGCGTCCCCGATCCCGATAAGAAGCGCACCAAAGATGGGAGGTTTATTCTAGACCCGCAGCCTGAAGAGTCCGCCAATGACCCCCTCAATTGGCGGCAGGTGCGCCGCGATCTCGCCCTGGTCTCACTCGGCTTCTACTGCATGATCGGCGGGGGCATGACACCGCTACTAGCTGCGGGCTTTAACGATGTGGCGAAGACGTATCACGTGAGCATCCCACAGGTCGCGTTGACGACTGGATTGTATATGCTGGGCTTGGGGCTAGGGAGCGTTGTCGCGTCGCCCACGGCTATACTTTGGGGCAAACGACCCGTCTACTTGGGCGCTATCATCCTCTTCACGCTCTCGTCCATCTGGTGCGCCGTGTCGCCCAACTACGCCTCGCTGGTTGTTGCTCGCATCGTTCAGGGCTTCGCAGTTTCACCCGTCGAATGTCTACCGAGTGCTACTATTGCCGAGATCTTCTTCCTTCACGAGCGGGCATACCGCCTTGGCATCTACACGCTGCTCTTGCTGGGCGGGAAGAACCTCATCCCTCTAGTCAGCGCCGTTATAGTTCAGTCGCTAGGCTGGAGATGGGTCTTTTGGATCACGGCCATAGTGGTTGGGTTTTGCTTCTTCCTCATATTCTTCTTTGTACCCGAGACGTTCTGGGATAGAACGCCCAGTCCACACAAGCATCACCACCTCCATTTCCACCTCCCCTCACGGCATGCGAAGAAGTCAACAGACGCCCTAGAGGCGCAGACACAAGTCCCCAACCGGGCGACGTCGATGCCTATATCCCCATTAGAGCATGCTACCAAGCGTACAAAACCCGCCCATGTTGGTTTTGCCGACGATCAAGAGACTAGTGCGACTGTTTCTCGACGTGTCGACCTCGCTGATGTAGAGCGAGATGCGCGTGGCTATCCCACTTCTGGATCGGGTATCAGTGTTCATTCCACCCCGGCAGAAACGACACGACACGACTACTTCCCTTCGACGACCCACAACGTCGCTCCAGATCCAGAGAAAGCAGACAGTCGCCCTGACAGCCGAAACCCGTCTTCCATGCCAGAAGACCCGCAAGCCGGTGCCGACCACGTCTCTGATCAATTTTCCATTCACTACACCGACTACTACCGCTGCGCCCCACCAAAGTCCTACCGTCAATCCCTCAAACCCTGGAATGGCCGCCTCGTAAAGGACAAATGGTTCCGCGTCATGATCCGACCTTTCATTCTGTTCGCCTACCCAGCCGTACTCTGGTCATCACTTGTCTATTCGCTTGCAGTGGGCTGGCTGATCGTGCTCTCCGAGTCTGTTTCGCATATCTATAGGGACGAATCATATCATTTCACCCCTCTCCAAGTTGGCCTCGTTTACATATCGCCATTTGTTGGTGGCGTGCTGGGTACAGCTGTTGCGGGCAAGGTTTCAGACCTAGTGGTGCGCTTCATGGCGCGCAAGAACGATGGTGTGTATGAGCCAGAATTCCGGCTGTTGATGGCGGTGCCGATTACGATCAGTACGGTAATTGGGTTAATGGGGTTCGGCTGGAGTGCTGAAGAAAGAGATCGATGGATCATACCTACAGTGTTCTTCGGCGTGATTAGTTTTGGGTGCTCGCTTGCCAGCACGACTGCGATTACGTTCGTGGTCGACAGTTATCGAGTCTATGCCGGGGAGGCGCTTGTGACGCTGAACTTTTCCAAGAGTAAGTCTTAACCAATCCTCGTTCGCTGCTTCCATTGCTAATACGAATTAGACGTCTTCCATGGCTTCGTCTTTTCGCTATTTTTCCCGCATTGGCTCGAGTCTAGTGGATCTAAGAACACATTCCTCGCACTTGGAGGCATTCAGCTAGCGTGTATGTTGCTCTCCATACCCATGTATGTCTATGGGAAGCGGGCGCGCATGTGGACTGTGCGAATGAACTTTATGGAAAAATTCTAAACATGAGCGAGGGACACGTGCGAATAGTACATTGCTTGCGCATTTACATCCCCGTTACAGATGTCAATTTAAGATTGTTTGCAAGTCATACTCAAAATGCTAACCTAATTTTAACTCCCCTTTTCCATTTGCTACGATACGTCCTGTTGGCCGATCGTGCCACATTTTCCACGCTTCCGCACGGTCTATCTTACCTGAAGCCTCGAGTGCGAAAACTCCTGTGACGAACGTAGTGAAAATGGGCCGCTCACTAGGCTGCAGACGATGCTGAGCAGCCGGTATGAGGCTTCGTTGTGCGATAAGGTTACTGAAGGTAGTGAAGTGTCAGTGGTCTAAAGATCTGGGATATAAAGCTGACGAAAGGAGCACTACAAAACTCACGTATTTGGATCTGCTCGGATAATGATGCTCATACTCTGCACAACGGCTTCGGCCGGCGCGACAAAATCGGCAGTGAGATCAATAATACCACTCGCGCCGGATTCAGAAATGACCAGAGAAGCCTTTTCGTCGCTCCACCAGCCCCCGGCCGTATCTCTCTCATCCATTGCGACAACCGTCTTGACAGGCTGCTCGAACAGCGACACGTCGCGCGACGTCTGCGCGGATGCCGCAAACCCACTGTCAACGAGCCGCACCGCCGACGTATCACGATTTGATGGGTTCCATTCCACGCGATGAATTCTCAGACTCCACCCAGGCCATCTCTTCACAGGCGGAATCAACGTCGTATGTACCTCCAAGGCCCGATTCTTCCAAGGCTTCCAGCAACCCATCAACGTCGGTAGCGTATCCACTCCCATATTTACTTCCCCTCTTCTCACATTATATGGGTCCCATGAAACCTTCCACGTATCCTCCCCGTCATCAAAGCACACCGCGAGCGATGAGTCCGGCGCCATTTGCTCGAGGAACGGGCCGCAAGGTACGCTGAATGCGAAGGCAGACGAGTAGGCGATTTTGCCGTATTTTGCTTCGCGGGCTTTGAACTTTTTAGTGGTAGATTGGCCCAAGGAAAGAAGGAAGGTATGCTCGCGCGTATTGCACATGATGTGGTGCGGCGGCCATAGGACTTTGACATCGGGTATCTTCCCCTCCGACTCAATAACCTCCAGGGGGTGCGGGAGTTCGTCGCTAACCCAAAATGGGTGCGACTCCTCTAAACCTATTACTAAGAATGATTTGAGACACCAGTATACTGACTGAGGGGAGTTGTAGTCCTCGGCGAGGTACATGTTTGGATACGCATATCCTATATTCAGCGTCCCGTCTGTGTTGAAGATTTGAGGTTGATGCGCCCACCATCTCAGATGTCTTAATAGTAGACCTTTGACTGTTCCGATATCGTCGACTGGAGAGGGCAAATCGACGCCAGCAAGTGCAGCGGCGGCCCAGAACGCAGCGAATGCGACGCGGTATGTAAGGCTGCGACCAAACGGTATCGCAGCTCCGTTGGGGGCGAAGTAGCGCCAGTAGTCCTTCGCGAAGTCTCGCGCTTGTGATTTGTACTTCTCTGTTCGTTCGGCATCGTAGTCGGGTGCAAAGCGCACAAAGAGTAGTTGCGCGAACTGGATGGCGAAGCTGCCAGAGTAGTAGTCTGCTTGCTTTCTATCCTCACACCACATGCCGTCGCTACTCCACCCGTCTGAGATATAGAATGTATCGAGCGTCTTCAGCGATTCATCAATATAACTTTTTACTTCGCAAAGTGGCACTCCTAGAGTTTGGACTAATGCCAGATTGACCAGAACACGGAACCACAGCCAGTTACTCTGCGGCATTTTATGATTGTTGATTTGACGGAGCCACGCGACCAGGTTTCCACGCGCTTTTTCGTTGTTTGAGAGACTAAAAGCGTCAGGATTCGCGAGTAGTGCGTAGGCGATCGATTCCATCTCTACCATTCTTTGATCGAAACTAAAAACATCGCCCCAGTACTCTGGCGACTCGGGGCTTGTGCCAGCTTTCAAACCCGCAATCCATGTCTCGAGCCGAATATTCTTTGAAATTGGTTTGCGGTCACAGGCTTGCGCGTTGAGACGGAGTAGATCAGCAACAACCCATAGAGGGCGGGCGAACCCTTCGAGCTGTGCAGCTGTTTCGCTGAAGCCGGCACCCGTCGATGTTGCGATCTTGATTCGAGCACTGTATAGTGACTTATATTGGTTAAGAGGTTGCACGAGGGCAAAGGCTGCGCGAATGACATCTGAGCGTGTGCGGAAAGGGTTATCCGAGAATCCTGGAAGTGGTGCCATGATGGAAGTGATCAACACAGAGGAAGGATTGGGCGATGGGATGATGAATTGAAGCTCGAAGAAGCTCGAGAATGGTTGGGGCATTAGCTCGCTTTATACTCGCGTCCGCGCTTCAGGCCATCACGTGGCGTTGCTTGCCTTCCTCATGTTCTAGCGTTTCTAGTTTCAATGCACTACAAGTGGAGTTTTCCAACTAACAAAGTAACCTGCAGTCTATTGCTCTCACTCAAGCCTAGTCTTTGCCCTAGTACCTCGGAAATTAATTAAGCTACCAGGTGCAACACTCAAACCCTCGCCTGCTTCGCCTCCCGCGCCTCTTTCTCATTCATGACCTCCACATGCACAGCATCCGCCTTCTGCAGCTCATCCTCGTCCATACTTGCATTGATATCAAACTTCTTCATCTTCTCTTCCCTTCGCCACAGGTACTGCCCAACCATGAACAAAATCCAGTAGCAGAGAATGAAAACGATATTTACTGTATAGCCTTTTGTCCACCGGGGGGCTTCAAGAATGGGAAAAACCGTGATGGGGTAAAAGCTGAAGAAGGCCCAGCCAATGGTCATCATAGCGCCGGTAGTGAATGAGCGTGCTTCGTTGTCGTCTTTCATCATAATGTTCACCCAGGGAAAGAGAATAGGTGTAACACAAGATGTCAGGCCGAGGAGGTAGTAACAGAGAACTAGACGTGTTAACTTGACCCTGATGGGATTCAGTGAACTTACAGTGTAAACTAAGCGGTATGTACCACACCCGCAAGCACACGTTTGCGAACAACAGTACCGCAGTAACGCAGGAGAACACGATCCACATCGGATAGATCATGACCAGGCTGGTAATCAAGATACCAAAAACGATGGCCAGGCCCTGAACACCTGTTGGGATGAGGTTGATTTCCTCAATACTGTAGGTGCCGTGTAAATCCGCCTCCCTCTTGAGCCAGGCCTGCATTTGCCCCGAAATATATGAAGTGCATTGGAAGAAGACGTAGATCAAAACCGCGATGTAAAAATGCCAATGCGTGAACACGCGCTTGAGCATGCGCTTCCCAATCTTACCACTCTGCTTGGTTCCCTGGCTCTGCATGCGAGCAACGGCAAGCTTGCGCTCGTCTTCTGTCAGCCACCAGACTCTGGGGCTAGTGGGTAGACCAGGGTAGAGAAAGTAGCCAGCGATCCCAATAGGCAGGCTGATTGATCCATCTATGATGAACAACCACCTCCAGCCAGACATGCCGTGGACGCCATTCAAGCCCTTATGAGCTGCCGCTTGTAGATAGCCACTAAACATGGCACCAGCATTGCTGGAGACGTACCAGACACCAGCTCGCTTGAAAATTTCGTCGGCACGATACCAGGACGTCAGGATATAGATGGAACCGGTAGAGGCTGGAGTTTCCAGAACGCCGAGCAGAAAGCGGAGACCATAGATCTGTGAGACACTACTAAGTCGAGATTGTGTGAAAGTCAAAATGGACCAGAGAACCTCCATGGTGGGGACGTAGTAGCGCGCGAGCTTAGGGCGGGAGATGATCATCATGCTGGGGATCTCAAAGATGAGGTACCCTGAAAGTAGTGACATGATTAGCACTTTTTGAAATAGAGAATACGGAAACTACCGAAAACATGCTGAGGAGTGTTTTAGAATAAAAACGCTAATTACTTACTATCTTTATATTAGCTAAAGCATTCAAAAAGTATTCTTCACTCACCCAATATTGTAGAAGGTACCAAAAAGGGAGTATTCGTTGCCCTTGATCTTCAGTTCTTCTCGCATGCCAGACCAGTAGGCTGTGGTCAGAGCGTTCTGGTCGAGCCACTTGATGTAAAAGCAAAGGCAGCAGAGGGTGAGCAGGATGCAGTCGAGTTTGCGCACCAGCTTCTTCTCCTCTGGCGAGTAGTGACTGGGGTACCACTTGATTGTACGTTAGTGAATTCCTCCTGACTTTCGTAAGAGTGCTCACATCGAACATATACATCCAGGCTGTCCAGAGAGACCGTTTGGGCTTCTCGGTGGCGGAGCTCACGACGACCTCTTTACCATTAACCACAACAACAGGATTCCGCGCATTATCGGTGGGTGCGACCTGTATCTCATCCTGGATGGGCGGCATATTGAATGATGTCGAAAACCACCGAAAATGTCGCAGAAGTGGGCGTAAGCTGCTATGCAGGGTAAAGACAGTAGCATGCGCACCCGCGCTTGCTTAAGTATCCATCGCATGCAACCAGCTTCCCCGGGTTCTCCATACCGACAGGAAGTGATCGTTTCGACGCGGTATCATCGCCTGTTCAACCCCAATCTTGCAAAACCCCGCGCGGTCCCATGGGGAAAGGATCAGGGGCCCACTCTGCCGAGCCAATCGCAAGGGTGTGTGCATTTGGGTCGGATCCTTGGCTTCGGGCTCCGGAGGAATGCCAGCAGCACAACCACCCCGAGGGCAACGATGCAAACTGTCTCGGAGCAGCTTGGGGCTTAGCCTCCGGTAGTACTTGAAGGTTCCAGGGCTCGATATAATGAAATCACATTGCTAATACTCCCTCTGCGAAGCCTTTGTATTTCTCATTTCTACAATTCACGATGGATAACGCGTCGCAAAACATTGATATCTATCTTCCAGAGGGTCTTTGTAACAAGGAAGAGGTCGCCGGCTCCAATCCGTTGATCCCAGGACAGCAGAATTTAGCCAACGAAGGTCTATACTTCATCACCACTAAAGAGGGAGAACTGATGGGTGTACCACCGAACAAGGAGCACGAGATTCGATTTAAGCCGGTGCAAGGAGCAGGGAACGAGCAGTTACGGTGCCCTGAAGCAGCTCAATCGACTCTGACTGCCGAGCATGAGATCCCAAAATGTAGCGAGGAGCATTCATTGGTCTCATGCAGAAAGGAAAACGCATTACAAACGCCATGTGGGCAATCGCAGCCACTTCTATTCAATCAAACAGTCCCAGGACTGAGGTCAGAGTCCTCCACCAGCAGCTTGGGAGGGGACATATCTGAGCAAAATACGACGCCTCTCACCAGCAGCCCACCATCCGAATGCGGCGTCAACGAACTGAATACAGACATTTTCTCTTCCAAAATCTCGATTGTTGATCAAGTTTCTGAACTCTTTGCTGAAAATATTATCGCAAAAGCGCTTCAAACCGCACAATTTGCTCTTCAGGCACTTCCTGCCGCATTTCCCGAAATTGTACCCCAAGAACTCGGCCAAGATGGGAGTTACAGCTTGCGAGAGGCAGACTTTTGGACATGTGGTTTCTTCCCTGGCACACTGTACGCTATTTTGGAGAGACTGATCAAGTATCCGCAAAGCGTGCAGCTTCCAAGGTCAATCAGCCTTCAGCACTTACGCGATCAGCTAACAACACTGTGTCGCACATGGAGCGAACCCATTAGAGGGATGGATGGTCGAACCGACACTCACGATATTGGATTCATCATCATGCCTTCTCTCCGCGCGGATTGGGAACTGTTCAGTAACCCGCGGAGCCTACAATCTATTGTCAAGGCTGCAAGAAGTCTGGCAACCAGATACGTTGCTTCGGCCAAGGCCATACGAAGCTGGGACCTGCTAAAAAAGAATGACATTGAGATTTTGGATCAAGAAGACAACATGATCGTCATTATCGATAGCATGTGCAATCTCGACCTTATATTCTACGCAGCGCACCATGCGCAAGATCCAACCCTATCCGACATAGCCACAGCACATGCAGTAACACTGTTGCAGTCGCATCTGCGCAAAGAGCCGGTATTATCTTCTTCAAAAGATGCATACAGAGGCCAATGGTACTCGTCGTGCCATGTAGCGAATATTGATCCCAAAACCGGTGATCTGAAGCGACGTTTGACAGCCCAAGGATATGACCACGATTCAACATGGTCGCGAGGGCAAGCATGGGGAATATTGGGGTATGCCGAGACGTATGTGTGGACAAGAGACCGCCGATTCCTAGAGGCATCATGTGGACTAGCAGAGTACTTCTTGCATCGTCTTGAGAACGCGCCGCCGTGCGTGACGAAGGGCCGGAAGGTACCGCTGTGGGACTTCGATGCACCCATTGAAGATGAAGAGAACCCTCTGCGAGATTCATCCGCAGGTGTAATTGCCGCCAACGGTATGCTCATTCTTTCCCAGACACTGGCCAGCATCGACCAGATCAGTCTGTCATCGCGGTTCCGCAAAGCAGCAATGTCCATTATACAAGATACACTGAGCTTTGCATTGGCACCTGAGAAGGCCCAGCTAGTTTCAGGCCCATACCAGCATATCGGAACGGAACAGGTACTTGCGGGATGTCGCTATGATGGTATGTTGAAGTTTGGCACAGCGAATAACAACGCTACCGCGAGGAAACGATACTCGAATCATGGACTAGTGTATGGCGACTATTATTTAGTTGAATTTGGGAACCGGTTGTTGCGCATGGGTTTGCATTAAACAGCTGGATTAGCAAAAGTTAACTCTACACACCTGACCCAATGAGCCTAAGGAGGAAGAGCAACCTCACACTATTTGGACAGTCAGGAGCAATGATCTTGTTAGACTTTACTGCTCTTAATGTACCACAAGTAGTCAGGAGTGTATTCCTACAAACCCTTCCCCTACGTCCTTCAATGAACTAAGTTAGTGATGTGGTGGATATAGACCCTCAAGAGGCCCTTGAGGTTCTGGCCAAGGCAGGTCCGAAAATTTGATGCTAGGGTGGGCAAGGAGGTGGGCAAGGAGGGGAGGAATTTGTTGTACTATCGTATAGAAGTGCAGAAGACAGAAGATGGAGACTACAGAGCAGCTTTATACAGGCCTTAAGAGCAACTCCTCTTATACTTAAACTATTAGAGCAGAAAATCGATATTTAGTACCATAGGAGAACGATAATAAAGTTTAGAACCATAGTTAGCGACTGCCTTAAGAGCCTATCCTAGAAGAATTAATATGATTATAAACATCTCCGCACTTAAAGTACTTTCACGGAACCAGCGATAGCTCAACTAGGGTGTGGGCGCTTTGAAAGTCCTCTTAGACCCGTTCCCCAAGAGTCCGGCTCTGGTGGTGCTGCCTGCTGGCGTATCTCTGACGGCGGAGACCTTGGGCGTCCTGGAGCCCATGTATAGTGATGTGGTGGATATAGACCCTCAAGAGGCGTAGCGCGTATTCGTCTGCAACCGGCAGCGTCAACCTTAATTGAGCCTTGCCATCTTCTACTTTAGGCCCGCTGCCCGTGCCACTCGTTGCTCATCCACAAGCATCAGCCTCGTTTATTGCTAGGGCTCTGCGAATGATGCTCAGCTGTCAGATTTCGGATGTCACCGAGCAGATGCCTGTCTCTCGTTAAGGGTAGCTCGGCGATGAAGCGCTCAAGGGACAGTGTCGTTGGGTCTTCCATAGTGACATCATCGAGAAGTGTGCATTCTTGTATTCATAGCTATTCTGCGCCTGTCCGTATCCGGGATACACCATCGACGACCATTTCGAGTGTAGACGAACATGAAGAAGGCGCATACTTTGCAGAGAAGAAGTCCAAATTCAGCTTTACAAGGCGCGGTCGACTAGGGCGCCGGAAGTCGACCCGAGCCAACAGCGTAGCGCTACGACAGCGGATGCGAGCCCCGAAATTGGACGAGCCAGTTGCCGATGACACAGGGTCCACCCAAAAAAGAAACCAAACCAAAAGAATTATGCGCCGTGTCCCTCGCTAGGGCTTAAGGGTAGGAAAGGTTTACTGCAGCACTACTGATACAAGTCAAACAGGTGGACTTGCGCAAGAAGGTGCAAGGTGGAGAGTGGATATTGGGTAGGGATGCGCGACAGGGATTGATATGGATATCAGAAGAATAACTCACCGATGCTTGTCTTCACCGGGGAACGTGGAAGGTAGAATGTCCACACTGATTCGCGGAGGACGGGAGGTAGGTCCTTGATCTTGGCATTGCTCCTGCTCTGCTCATCTCTTCGCAGGATCTCAGATAAGACCAGGTCCCAAGTGAAGGACTGCGTTCTGGACCGGAACTTTCTCGTCTGGCGGCTCGTACTATGTGCTGCGCTACGCGGGCCGTTTGACTATAATGAAAGCCATCTGATCGCATTTTTCACCTCCCATGATTAAGTGGAATGGCTACATACAATTGAATAGAGTAGTCTTTTCAGTGCATTGGAGTCAGAACATGGGTTAATGACCACTTGTGGGTAAATGCGGAGAAACCCGGTAATCTGCTCGGTCTTTCGGGGCATCTTGTCCGGTGATCGGATGAATCAACTCATCGGAGGCCGCAACGATGCTTCCAACACATCCTACCATGCCGAGTGGAACTCCAGAAAAGAAGAAAATTGAGACAAACGATGGAGGCGCCAAAATCATCCCAGACGCTGCAGATGGCCTGGCTTGCAACGGATGCCGCAAGGCGAAGTTGCGCTGCTCACGCGACCGACCATATTGCCTACACTGTCGGAAAACGGGTATGTCTGGCTCTTGTTGTAGCATGATGGCAATGACATAGTTTCACTGACAAAGAAAAGCGCTGGAGTGCGTTTACGAAACCAAGCGGGTCAAGCCAGGGCTAAAGGCGGGAGCTGTGGACAACCTCCATAGGCGACTCGGTAGACTACCTATTCCCAAATACTGAAATATGACGCTCATACAACTTAGATGATTTAGAGCGGCGGATTAATGAAGGAGAGTCGAGCAGCCCGAACCATGAACACACGAGATGCCAACGCAACCACACAGTCGCCAATGATGGCATTGGCGAATCAAGCGCCCGCGACGTTCTTGCTCTGCTAGCGAAGGAGCTCCCGAAGCTAGTCAATGCACCCAAGGAGAATATAAACCCGAGTACAGCATTCAGCGAACGGCGCAGCAAACGCAAAAGGCTCGACGAGGGACTCGATACATTCAACACCGCTTTTTTGAACGAAGAGCCCCCCTTGCCTGAAAAGCAGCTTCTAGAAGCAATTGTGACTTCCTACTTCCTTCACGTTCATCCTTGGATTCCAATGATTCACCAAGCAAGATTTCTTCAACGATTCAGCAACGAAATGGACCAGAAGCAGCTCTTAGTTATCCTACATGCCATGATCCTGGCTGCATCCAAGTTCGTACCCGGTGCCTGGGCATTCGCACGAGACGAACGCGCTCGCAAGTGGGTTTTGTACACTTCAATGGAAAGTTTATCTCTTGAAAATCTACAAGCACTCACAATTGTTGCATTTAACGACCTTGGAAGTGGCAACGCCGCGAAAACTTGGTCTGTAATCGGTTCCCTTACGCGCACGGTCGAGTACACGCAGTTGGCACAGGAGCAGGAAGATAGCGGCCACGGATCTTTTTGCCATCCTTACGAATCCCTGCCACGCACAGATGACTGCACGCAACTCGAGGAACGGCGGAGAGTCTTCTGGAACGTGTTCCTTCTAGACAGGTTTTGTTCAGTCACTATGGGCTGGAACACGAGCTTAACCTCGGATGATGTCTATCGAAGGCTACCGTGCGACGGTCATTTATGGAGAAAGGAGAAGCCTGTCCTCACGCCATACTTTGGCATTTGGGACAAGTCGAGAGGTCGTATCGGCAATCCAATCGAATATGTGTCTCGCTACCCATCGCCAACTCAGTTTGGAAATGATGCCGAACTGCACACTCAAGCAAGAATTACTGCCCTCGAAGGTGCCATATCTAATGTCTCAACCGATATGTCCACTGTCGGTGCCTTCGCATACAATATCGAAGCAACCGAGTCCATGAGCCGCGTCATGAGCTATTTTCTACAGCAAAAGACGAACATGCGCGATCAAAGTGAGATAAGCTGTTGGCTTACTCGGTTCAAAGAGCTAGATTTGAGGCTCGTCCATTGGAAGATGCTACTTCCGCAGAAATGGAAGGCTAACCCGAACCTTACGAGACATGTACCGCTTATGGATCCTAACCTTACTATGGCGCATGTTACGCACAATACGTCCATGATATTGCTACACCAGCTCATCGCGTATCCACCATTACACTGGGGCTTTCGCAATAGACTACCCAGCAGCTGTAGCGCAGAGGCATGTTACTCGGCTGGTACCGAGATCGCGGCGATCACTGAAAAGTACCTCGGAAGGTCGCCAGCTGGGTCACCCATCGGTAGCCAGTACGCTTTCTGCCTATTCATTGCTGCGAGGATACTGCTCGCTAACTGGAAATATACGCCTGGTAATGAATTACCGTCAGAATTCTGGTCTCTCATCCACAGCCTCGAAGAAATGTCCAGACGGTGGACTGCCTTTGCTGAGATTCCGCTTGAGAAGCACGATATCTTTACAAAGTACGCTGTCCGGTTGAAGCAGCTGCAACGACTTTGTGCAACGGATCAGGCGTTTCAAATGAACGTCATGGATTATACAATCGACATTCGTCATGATAGTTTGACTACCCCCGCGGACACCTATCCCAGGTGGTCACAAGTTTTGCAGCCCGCAGCACTTCAGGAGATGAATTTGACGTTACCCAATCCACCTGATTCCGCAGATTTCAGTACTATCCCGCAGATAATGCTTGATCAGGATTTCACGGGGATGGATCGTATAATCACTTTCGACGATGGCAGCATGTTTGCGGCCTCTTTTGATCCTGGAGCTGCCGCGTGGTAACAAACAGTATAGTGGGTTAAATATCCGAGTTATCCTGGATTACTGTATTTCGTTTTATACTGAGCACCAGGGCGGGGCTGTGAGTCTGAGTCTCTTACTTTGTCTGAGCTAAGCGCCGCACATTGAACAGACGGGATTTCACTTCTTATTGACTTAATTGATGAACTGCATTGCTGACACGTGCGTCCCTGATATGACTATTCCAAAGTTCCAGCAGCAGCAACACCCTGAATAACCACTGGTTTCTCTGTGCTGAAGTTCTTGAGATCACCCAAGACCTCGGCACCCGCCTCCTTCATTGCGTTGCCGATACTTTGCGGGCTGTCCCAAATCATGATTGTCTGTACGGAATAGCCAGTCTCAGGTGCCAGCTTCACGACAGACCATTTTTTTAGGCCGTACTTGGACCACGCATCCAGGGCTAGTGGTAGATGGGTGTTGAGGTAGTATTCAATGTCAAATGCATCAACTAAAAATTGGTCAGTATAGCGCCTTGAACAACGACTCAGTAAGCTAGAGTACAGGCCCTCGTAAAAGGCCTCCCGAGGTTGCTAAGTGCTCGATGACAATGGAGATAAGGACCGTGTAAGACATACCACCAGCGGCGGGGATTGGGTAGAGAAGGGTCAGGATGGTTGCCATGTTGCTTCGGGGGTGGTTTAGAAAGATGCTCGTTATGTAACTCAGGTATTACGAGAGAAAGGGATAGTAGGGGAAGAGATGTAGTCAAAGCAGTCTTAAATAAGCGGTTAAGATCCTTGATGTGAGGCGGGATGCTTGATCGCCCGGCGGGGCAAAGACCTTCCGCTCTGTTACATTGATTACAATTGCGCATAATCGTGGCGTACGCCCTGCAGTAATGTAATTATTTCGTCTTTTTCGGTCATACGCCACGTGGGAAGATGATAATGAAGCATGTGTCTTCCAAAGAGTGGAAGTTTTACAGCCTCCTTTGATCCAGGAGTTGCCGGCGGTAACGTAAAACATGTTACGATAGAGCCCCAAGTTATCTTGGATTAATGCAATCCGTACTGGAAGTAGCGCCAGAGCGGGGCTAGAAACACTGCAAGTGAAAAGCCTTGCAGTCCAGCTTCGTGAAATGCCGGGGGCCTTCTATATTTCTAGAGAGGAGCAGGTGAACGTCAATCCGTCCGGGAGCAGGAATGGAGAGCTTGATACTGGAGCCGACCCGTTCAACGAGTACGACCACTTCAAACGGCTTCTAGCAGCTGCGCCTATCACCAATGATGAATGTTCGAAATGGAACACCCAGGATTGGAGTCTTAAGGTCTTGGATTGGCTGCGGACGGAGGATACCGTTGATAAACAGTATCAGGACAATGTGATCCAGTAGTGGATTCGAGAGGACAGGTAGGTTCGGAATAAGTTGCGGAGATTGGAGCGCACTGTCTTCCTCAGAATCAAAACACCTGAAGAATACGATCAATCTGTAATTCGTCCGGATATGGGCGTAAAACCTTGGCCACAAGTGCTTTCCACCACGGCATATACCTGTTCCCGAACAATGATTTGTTGTATTCCCAGTAGGCGGGCCACCAGCCAGCCATTTCCCAGTCTACTATTCCAGTAATTCTCCCGGTCGTTGGCTCAACAAGAATATGATCCCCACATAGATCTGCGTGACTGAAACAGATATTGTGATTATCTGAGAGTTGCTGGCGATATTTTATAGCAAGATCGGGACGAGGACACCGCGTAACGGGAGTGATAAGGAAGTTATTGAAGTCTGTCTCTGAGGCGAAAGGACCACAGGGAAAGCCATTATTGAGACGATGGTCGTACGCCGGCCCACCAAGACAAGATCCAACATATGTTGGCTCTGGAGGACGGATGGCCCGTAACTCGCTAATATATTGGGTGATTTCGTGTTGCGTTGTTGCTTGTGCTGTTTTGTCCATACGATCCCAGGCATCCGTAAGAGTCAACCCCGCAACAATACTCATAGAAAACCAACTACCAGTCTCCTCAATGTGTGATTGGATTACAAAAGGCACGGGTATTGATGTATTACGTTGGACGAAGAAGATGGCATCAACTTCGCGTTGAATCTCGTGCCGTGTTCCACGCTTGATGAAGGTGGAATTGTTGGCTTTGAAGGCACGCTTCGCTAAGGTTTGGTCAACGTAATCGGGAAGGCTTTGATACGTGGGTAACATGGTTGGCTTTGGATGCGCGCAGTTGGTATGTATGCGGGTAGCTGTGAGGGTTCGTTGGTAATAGTTACAACTTTGGGTAGGGTGAGCCACGGCGCTACAGGGTCTAGAGTAGTGCAACTGCGGGCAGCTTCAAGGTGGCGGGCAATGCGATAAGGTCACCACCCCCTTGATACGACACTTTTTCACGCACAGGCCCACGACGCCAGCGTCTCGTCAATGCGGCACAGGTTATTGCTAATGCGGCTCTAACGACATTTCGCGTTTGTAAATAACTGGACATACGTCGCAACCTTTTCTGTTCTGCCGCGGGGAGCCTACAGGCCTGTTGGACACATCGCAAAACCTTCCCAGCGCTCTAGAACACTTGGAAAACAAAGAAAAGTACGACAAGGGGCTAAGGATATCCCCTAACATGTCCTCTAGCCATGCTAGGCAAAACCCCTGCTCATCATGGCTGTAGCGCACCGAGGACATCGCTAAACGAGAGCCGCACTTTAAAACGGCAGACCCTGACTACTGCGAGCCGTACAAATACGGCGCACTGCGTAACAAGAGTTGTAATTGGACGCACGTGCGATCTGCAGGGTCCTCAACGCTGCTCATTTATCCCACATCTGGGCTACCTCGTGGCATACCCCTGCCCGCTTTTTCGCACCAGAAGACAAATTATGAAAATCGCCAATTCGGTCGTTTTGGACGCTGGACTTGTTCCTGTTCTACGGCCTCTTCGCTTTCGATCTCGTTCTTATTCGCTTAAACGACTGAGGAATGGAGACGGGTGCTTGCTTACTAGGTCTTGTCCCAACCACGGAGGATTCTTCCCTGAACCGTTAACACGGGCTAGGCAATTGCATCGGCCAAAATCTCAGTTGTGGGTCCACTCTTCCGCTACTCTAGGCGAAGAAAAGCGGTGTCCAGCTATGTGCGTATGCGGCTAACCCGACCGCGTTGTTGAAACAGATCCCACGTCTTTCGCGATTAGAAGCGTCCGCTATGGGACCCAACAGAAATTACACCGCCTGAGCGGGGGCTTGTACAAATGTCGACGGCTGGGCCGCACATTCGACAGACCCTTCCCCATCTTCCCCATCTCGTTTGCGTTCGTATTTCGTTGCGACATCATGGGCGCGAGTACCACTGCCACGCAGGTCGAGGTTTCGACGAAGCCTGCCTCTTCTTCGGTGCCGGACGTCAAGACGCTTAGAGATGCCATACCAGCGAAGTGCTTTGAGCGCTCGCTCGTCCGCTCAATGTCCTACGTTGTCCGTGATCTCGTCGCCGTCTCCGTACTTTTCTCCGCAGCCGTCTGGCTAGCCAAGCTCGATGCCCCATGGACCATCACGATTCCTCTCTGGACATTATACAGCTTCGTGCAAGGCCTCTTCTTCACAGGTCTCTGGATTCTGGCTCACGATTGCGGTCACGACTCCTTTTCACCATACCTCAATGTCAACGCGACGGTCGGCTGGTTTCTTCACTCCATCTTGATGGTGCCATTTTTTAGCTGGAAATTCAGCCACTCGCGCCACCATCGGTATGCCAACCACATGGAAAAGGACACCGTGTTTGTCCCCAGCCGGAAAGAAGAACTGGAAAAAAAGCAAGCCAAAGGTGTAAGCTTGGTCGAGAAGATAATGGACCATACCGCAGCCGACACACCCATTGTCAGCTTTTGCGCGCTCCTTTTCCACCAATTACTCGGCTGGCCCGCGTACATTCTTCTCAACGCTGGCGCGGGGATGAACAGCTTGATCAAGAATTCTCGCAAAGAGAGTCCAAAGTTCAAGCAATCTCATCTTGATCCCACGGCGCACGTCTTCACCGACGCAGAGCAGCCGTTCGTCCTACTTTCCAACATCGGTCTCATCTTGGTCTTAGCGGCGCTGTACCAGGTCAGCCAGAGCTTAGGCGTTGGACACACATTTCTTCTATACGGACTTCCGTACCTTTGGATGAATCATTGGATTGGTGAGTTTTTCATGTTGGAATATTTGACCTGGTCAATCATTTGGTTTTGGCAAAAATCTGAAGAAGCTAACGAGCGTATAGTCGCAATCACATACCTCCACCACACCCACCCCGACGCAGCTCACTACGACGCAGACAACTGGACATATGCCAAAGGTGCTCTCTCAACCGTTGATCGTGAGTTTGGATTCATCGGACGTCACATCTTCCACGGCATCATCGAATACCACGTCGTTCACCACATCTTTCCGTAAGACTCCACAACCATCACCCCAGCTCCCTTTCTTTCCCAGCTAACAACCCGTAAAAGCCGCATTCCCTTCTACCACGCCGAAGAAGCCACCTGGGCCATTGAGCCCCTCCTCGGAGAGAAATACATCCAACAACGCAGCAACTTCTTCGTGGACCTCTGGACCGCTTTTACAACATGCAAATACGTCGAAGAAGGCACGGGCGCCATGAAGGGTGGGCTTGTATGGGGGAAGAACAAGAACACCAAGGCGCTATGAGACTTCTTTTGTCCTGAAGTGAAGTGCGAAATAAGGATGCCAGCATGGCTAATGACACTGTTAGATTAGAGGAATTTAGAAGTATGATTGCGCCAGCAATGAGCACCAGCAATAAGCTACTTGAGTGATGATTACTTACTTTCGGGGGCGTGTGCTCTTGGCTGCGAATCCAAAATCATCGTCAACTGCTACTTATCCCATTTTTGGGTGCTATCATCCGCGATACAGATTCCATGAGAGTTCATCTTTCAAAGTTGCGGGACAACGAATTGGCTTTTCATTCATCTCCCTTGTCTTGCCGGCCCTAATTGCAACTATCCCTAGATGTACTATGCACAGTTAACTTGAATGGAAAACGCGGTAACACATATGGTGGAAAACTGACATCAACGGACGGTCATTGGTACACGCAAAGGACTAGGAACCCCCACACCCAAGGATGGGGTCTCCGTCCGCGTCAAAATTCGCCGGTTCGCACAGCACAGATATCGTTTATCGCACAGTTGCTAACCATGGCCTGTATGCATCAGTCTCGAGGCTGATAAGCACGGAGCCGGGCATCGCGTCTCGTCCATTCTGAGCTTTTTGGCAAAGCGGAGGGTGTATAACTAGTTGTCGGTTATACAAGCCATAGCAGCCAACATGGATGATCCAGCTCGCACAGTCTCAAAGCGCAATGATGATCTTGCCTAATTTCAGACTATCCCCGTGTTCAAAATTATACAAATATACAGGATTAGCTACAATATAATGCCCCCTAGTAATAATATACACTCCAAACTCCGTGCGCTTAAGGAGACATGCAAGCAGATGTTAGTTACTAGATCCCCAGTTACCCTTGTAAGTCCTCTCGATTGCTAGCACAATGGATTGAAATGGCTTCCACTTGGTGCCTGTTTTCAGATCTGACAGATATGGATCCATCTGCGTGGCATGTGACTGCTTGTTTTTGCAAGGGTAGCATAACCAGGATGCTCTTGTGCGGCTCCAATAGAAGTAATTGATGTTTAAAAAATAGTTTGGTGATAGGAAGGAAGATGAAAGTGCGAAGGGTGCTTGGTGAAGGAAGTGAAGTCTTCCCTAATGGAACTCAGGTGAGCGTCGAAGAACGCCGTATCAATATCGAACTGCTTGCCGATATGGGTCAAGTAACGAACGGAAGAATAGCTCGACAAGACAGGATTCGGCTGTGTTCTTTAACGACGTGTTCTGCTAGCGAAGAGTTTGGGGTAGACGGTATATGACCACCTTGATCTTCTATTTGCCAGTGGTGCATCCTGGCAAATTTGGAGTCAGTTTCTAGCAAGCTTTGTTGATCCTTCCGTCCGAGGAAGTGCGCGAGTTTCTTTGTCTCCGCCACAAACAGGATTTGATATCGAGTAACTATAACGAGCTGAAGGACATTTTTAAACTATTCTGCATATGCATGGAACATATCAGCTCAAGTTTTCAAGCCCGACAATAGAACGCTTACCGGCTGCTTGATCATCGCTCCACGAGCCCTTTGCCGTGACAGTTGGCTGCATCTTACCACTTGTGCCCTAAAAACTGCGTGGAGTTGATGTTAGTTATGTAGGAAAGTGACTCAAACATCGAGTTAGGTTACAGTATAAGACAGCACCAACGTGTCGTTGAGGCATGACGAAAACAAGAAAAGATATAAAAAAATCTCCTCCATTGCGTATTATAGTCATTTTCGCGTAAATGACTAGGATCTAATAAGTAAATGCGCAACTACCTCTAGAATACGTCAAACGTTGGTTTGAATAGGGATATTCTAAGAAAATCTCTCTTGTAGCGGAAACTCTAGAAGCGTTAGAGCCTAGATAATTCTGATAAACCGTCTCGCGCAATATAATAGCCGTATCCTCTAATACATCAGGGGGGCTATTTTTAAACAAATAAGGGGGCACCACTTTTAAGCTGAGAAAGTGCCCTTCTACGTTGCAGTGCGAGGACAGAGTTGAATAAAGGCATATTAGCTATTGAGTATCGCTGATTGATTTAATGCTCCTTGATCATACTGCCGGCTCTAATGAAACGGTCCTCCTTGGCTTCTGTCTGGCTTTCCATTCCGCCGCATAACGCTCTGATAAGCACTTCCTCTCTCATCAAAATACGATCCACGGTTGGTAAGCATCATCATTGCGATTTCTTTAGTCGGCAATGGGTAATAGTCAACTTTGAGATCGCCGTCCTCAACCCTAACGCGACACGTAAGAACAGTATCGTCCTCTTTCGAGAATTCGTTCACCGCGGTAAAGTAGTCCTTCAGCACAGCAGTGTCTTCTGGTGCAGCCTGTAGCCACTTGGCGCATTCTTCGATCGTCTTCCCGACCCATGGCGACTTGTATGAGTCCGCGAGAGGTGGCTTTGTTGCTTCTGGCGGAGGCTGTCGGTCGCCTGATTGTTTGGGCATATCATCGTATGAGTCGGTCGCAACCCATAGGTCCCACGTAGCCATTGAATCCCAGCCATGAGCACTCTCTAGACCTTTATTGATGTACTGCTATCTATTAGCCTTCAGAAGAAAAAAACTTGTGTTATATCACCCGCCTCATTATTGATATCTTTGTCAAGGACGAATAGTGCAAATGGGGGTGTATTCATCGTTGAGAAGGCCCTGTACCCTTCTATCACTCAAATAATGATTTTGAGGTTATTCCGTGGACAGGAAAATACGCAATTTTGGCGATGTTGCCTTGTGCGGCTTACCTGGACCCTTTTAACCACGCCGCAACGACAAGCCCGGAGGCATCTACGGACCATGACGTGGCATCTACGTCACAACTTATCCAAGCCACTTTTGAAGCGCTCAACATGTATTGGAACGCCTACTACACGCCGCCTTGGCGCAGGTTTCAAAGCTGTCTACTAGCATTCATGTTAGGGGCTCGTTTTGACGCTTTCACATCCTTACGCCCGGCTGTTTGGGCCAATAATCATTGCGTTGACTTTTAATAGGTTAAACCTTGCCCCCTTGTTACATAGCTTGCACTGATCGCTGCCCAAGTGCGCAACTCTATCGCTCGTAGCAATCCCGCGCCGTAGCGCGTAGCAAACAGGACACCGAGTACGGCAAGTCAAGCGACACCCTGTAATAGATCGAGACCTAACATAGCCACCAAAAGTAGTCCATGCTATTCTTCTACATCACCATGAGACAGATGTTAGCTATAGGTTCACAAAGCGATTTTCGCAAAGTTCGTTGTGTTGTAGGTTCTCTACCCCGCTGGCGAGAAAGTACTGAGGCGCGCTGGATTAAAGTATAGCCTACTTCAATGTGGATTGTGATCGGCGATACGCCTAATTACAAGGCGAAGCTCGACACCAGGGTTTCAGCGCCTGGTCTTTCGGCCCCAGAGTCTATTCAATCTCGACAGATGATTGGGAGCTGCAAGCGAGTTATATTGAGGCACATTGAGGAAAAAAGCTACAACTAGGTAGGCGCTGTGTCTACTGCGGAAGGACGTGGATACGTTGTCTGTGAACTTACAAGATCAGCAGTTGTGGCGCAGGTCGTGACCCCATCCATATCTGTTGGGATGTCTGCCTTGTTGAAGCAAGTTGATGTCTGCATTGATTATGAATGCCTTATGTTGAATGCGATGCTCCGCCTCACACACCTAAATAGGTATGCCGAATCATCTAAGCATTAATCTTTTGCTGGATTTCACTTTCGGCGTCTTCATGTGGGCCCGAAGCGGTCGCATTAGCTTCTTCGTAGAATGAACACTACCTGGACTTTGACCCAAATCATCGCTCTTGTGTTTCTGTGCCTCTTCTAGCACTGCCTATCTGAAAATAGTCCTAGGGATTGTTTCGAGAGAGTGTATTGCGGTAGTATGGCTTTGCCGCACATACAAGTATATATGAAGGGAAGCATTCGACACAATCAAGTGTCCTTACAACTTGTTTCTTATCAATCATTACTACAGATCTCTACTCGTTCTCAGCAGAGACAACATAATCTTGCTCAAGATCTTTACATTAGCCCTCCATATATCGCAGAACACCTTGTCTGGGCCATCAGATCTCATTCGACAGATTTGCTAAAGAACGCACTGCCACCGGATCATGAAGTTACCAATCTTACTTCTACCAATGATTCTGAGCGTGGTCTTTGGTAGTACAGAAGAACCAAGGCTCGGTAACTATTATGCTCCCGGTCGAGCTGACAGAATGTTCTACAAACGTGCCCCAACGGACCTTGGTATATTTCAAGTCGACTGCCAGAACTCAGAGAGCGCATGCAACAACGCCTGTTTCTATATACGCTGTTTGGTACGTTTCATAAGTCATTTCATGATTGCCGAGATTGGTCCTTTATTAATAAACATAGAACCCTGGTCCTGACGCCAACAAAATCACATATACCGGTGCCCAAAATAACGAACAAAACCGTCGCGAATCCGGATGTAGAGTCAACAACCCCTCTGCAGCCAGTGTCTGCCGCAGCTTTCCCTTCAGCCAGGCTTTCACCGACAAGCTAGCAGTAGATCAGCAGTGTGACGAATGGCCCCCAGCATTGGCTCAACAACAACCTTTCGACCCCAATCCTCTTGTACGGCCACCAAACAGCCTTAGATGCATGCCTGGCCCTGAGAATGGGTCTCTAGGCGGCAAGCTCGCGGCATTCCTTAGGAGGACCAATGCTGCTCGGGATGATTTTTTTCGTGTCGACTTCACAACCAATATTGCCTCTGCCGATCAAAGGAAAGTCCAATACTGTCTCGGAGCAAAGCCCAATTGCGATCAAGATGGGAGACAGTTTGGAATGGTTCGAAAAGCCGTCGGAGGAGGGAAAATCAGCTCACCATACAACTTTGACAAAAACGACAACCGGTACAGTTTGCTGGGTACCCCTTACAAGGAATTGTACCAATGCAGTGTCAAATTCACTCGCGATGGTGACCAGGACATTCGATCAATCACGCTTAGCGATTGGGAGGATAAGGACTTCTTCTTGACTGATTTCCAGTTGCCCAACAATGGAGACACCCATTTGATGCAGGGTTTGCCAAAGGATCTACAAATCAAACGCACGGGAGCTTTTGGCAGTAAGATTGGCTTCTTCTACGCGCCGACTCAAACACCTGGGCAGAACATTAACGAATTCGAGTGGGACTCAGATATGTCTGGGAATGGTAGAGGTCCAGCGACAAACGACGGTCAACCAGATCGATTTTGTAGAGTCGCTAATGGCAATGGGCCTAACAAACAAGATTTCGAATGCTACTTCCCGTGCTACAGGAAAGCGAATGGAAGGTAGAACAGGGGCATGTGAACTTCAACGAAGATGTTAGGGGGGAGATCTCGTGCGTTTCCAACGCAGATAGTAAGATTGGATTGCTTTTAGATAGCCCACTGTACAGGTTTTTCAACTTTAGGATCATTCAATTGAGTCTTTCGGGCTGTACATTGTCTCACTATTGCCCACCATACGCTCTGCATCTCTGCCCGCTTTTGCTTTCACCTGCTGTAGCTTTTGCTGCTATGTCTCGGGACTGTACCTGCGGAGGCAAGTCACAAAACACCTGCCTCCGCTCTTGTAAGTTTTCCAATCAAAAACACATGCAAAGCTGACACACAAAGAGTACGGAAACTGCTGTTCCCAACACGCATGGCAAGACTTTTCGTTCTTATACATGCATACACTGGCTGGTTTCGACGTCCAGGTGCGGAAGCACATCTGCCTACTGTGTTGCTGGTTACCAGCCTTTATTTGGTACCTGCAGCGACGCAGTGTCCAGTTCAAAATCAACATCGACTCGACTTTCTTCATCTGGGTTCCGCACGTCTACCTCGACTCGCACATCCTCCAACACGGCTTCCACTCAATCGGTCTCGAAAGACGCGCGATGCGGAGCGTCGTATAGCGAACGAAAGTGTCTAGGTATTCAGTTCTGGAACTGCTGCAGCCAATAGTGAGTTATTTCTTGGGTTGCCTGCTCATGTCAACGCTAATACCGGAATAGCTCGTACTGCGGCTCATCAATTGATAAGGTTGTTTGCGTATCGACCTCTTGCCTTACTAACAGTTTCGGAACATTGCGCGGCTGATACGTGCTAAAGGGGGTATGGAACCTGCAACAGCGTAGCCTCGTCTGGTAGCCGCGGGGTATCGCTTACATCCAGTACTTCGCTTATTTCGATTTCCCCCTCAGACGCGACTGCCATCTCACGCGGAACCACCACATCTAGCTCAGCTGTCGTGGTGTCCTATTCGTCTAGTCTATAGGTCCTCACATCGTCTTCTTCCAGTATCTCGGGTTTCATCTCCTCTTCCTCATCCAGTGTACTAGCAGCTTCGTCGTCCATTGTGGCGACATCAAGCAGTGCCTTGATTTATACCAGTCGAGAGTTCTCTCAGTACTGCGGAAAGCTCTCCTGCATCTTCGATGAGCTCGTCATTAGCCACATCACTCTCGACGTCTCCAGTAGCGTCGACTTTGAGCCCAGTCGTTAGTAGCACGTCCCCCTTGGCAGTTAGTATTAGTTCGAGCAATATGTTTCAAACATGCCCTCAAGTATTCTTGCAACTACTTCGGGATCTTCCACAAGTAGTAAACCATCCTCATCCTCGGCCACCATTTCCTCGACCTCGCTAGTCTCCTGATCCCCACCAGTCGCCTCGTCTTTAGTAGCTCCCTCGTCTTCCCAGCTTGAGATGAAATAGGTTGCATGGACAATACGCCTCCTCACTTATGTTACGCCATGTGACTCAAAATTTGGTTAGCTGTTGAAGTTCAGATCTTGATGGAAAACTACCGGAGATGAAAAAGATGCATAGCCAAAAAATGAACATGCGATGTACTTTGAAAAATCGACAAGTCTGTATGATTAGCGAAGACCTTGTGGGGGATTTTAGGTTTCGCCACTTCCTATGAAGCGCAAAATATTGCTAGCAACAGCATATTGAAGACAATAGTCCATTGAAAACATGACGCTTCGCGGATGAGCTTTATACAGCATATGAAGTGTATCTGTTCAGTGCAGCGTTTCATTATCGCAGCGTCTAATCCACGCAGCTCTACTATACAAAGCCCGCTCTTCCCTGGGCATATAAATGAGTCTATGCTACAATACACCCCAACCATGGGACGAGAGATGAAGAGTGGAATGAAAGCCCGTTTTCACCTGCTTTGCCCATGCCTTGATATCATGAACTGAAACAGAAAATGCAATATGCTACCTATTGATTACCTTGATGCGTCTAAATCCTTGAATGTTGCTGGTGCAGGCGGTACTAGTGGGCCCTTCACACCGTCGTCGCCCTTGGGTTCAATGAGCCCCGGTGCCTTGCCATATTCACCAGAGAAATACTTGTGGAAGTCGGCTGGGTCTTCGAATGGTCGGGGTCCTAGTAACCGTATCATGTCCTCGCGACCGAGCATCTCCTTAGTCAACAACTCTTCTGCTACAAGGCCGACCTCGTGTTTCTTCTCGGTGAGCAGGTCCTTGCACTGCTGGTACGCTTCATCGACGATACGCTTGACTTCCATGTCGATGTTTTTCGCAGTATCTTCGGAGAAGGGCTTCTGAAGTTGCTGGCCGTTCTGGTCATCTTCGTAGTAGATGTAGCCAATCTTCTTGCTCATGCCCCATTTGCTGACCATAGCGGTGGCCATCTGGGTGACTTTGCGGAAATCGTCCGACGCGCCAGAGGTTACGGTTTCGAAGTGCAATTCCTCAGATACGCGGCCACCCAGCGTCATGGCCATGCGGTCCATGAGCTGGTTGACGTTCATGAGATATGTGTCTCCGTTTGGCAAATACTGTGCGTAGCCTAGGGCACCCTGGCCGCGGGGAATGATCGAGACCTTGAGAAGGGGATCCGCGTACTTGAAGTACCAGCCACAGATGGCGTGGCCGGCTTCGTGATAGGCGACCGTCTTCTTCTCCTCCGGCTTGAGCACAAGGGATTTCTTCTCGAGACCGCCAATGACGCGCTCAATGGCCTGCTCGAAGTGCACCATCGTGACGGTTTCGGCGTTGTGGCGGGCGGCTACGGTGTGTTAGTAGTCATATGTACATCAGAGGTAGGTAGATCTTACCAATCAGAGCAGCTTCATTGACACAGTTCGCAATGTCGGCACCTGAGAAGCCTGGTGTCAAGGCAGCTAGCCTGCCCTTCAAGAATTCCATGTCCTCGTTGGTGATGATCTTCTTCAAGTGAACACCGAAAATCTGAGCTCGGCCATCCATAGTCGGTTTATCGATGTTGATATGCCTGTCAAATCGGCCCGGTCGCATTAAAGCCTTGTCCAAGACGTCAGGTCGATTGGTACCAGCAAGGACAACGACCTGTTCTGTCGTGTTGAAACCGTCCATTTCCGTCAAGATCTGATTGAGCGTAGCCTCGCGTTCGTCATTGCCACCTCCAAAATTTTGCTTTGACCTCGAACGGCCGATGGCGTCGATTTCATCGATGAAGATGATGCAGGGTGTGCTCTTGCGTGCATTCGCGAACAAATCTCGTACTCGCGATGCACCGACACCGACAAACATCTCTACGAACTCGGAACCGCTGACACTGAAGAAAGGCACGCCTGACTCGCCAGCGGTAGCCTTGGCCAGGAGTGTCTTACCGGTACCTGGGGGTCCAGATAGGATGGCACCACGAGGGATCTTGGCACCAAGTTTCTGGAAACGGGCGGGATCCTTAAGGAACGAGACGAACTCCATGATTTCCTGCTTAGCTTCATCCATACCCGCGACATCGGCAAACTTGACCTTGATGTCGGTCTCGTGGTTGAACTTCTTGGCACGACTCTTACCCATGCCAAATATGCCACCGGAGCCTCCACTGCTGCCTCCGCCCGCACGTCGAGTGAAGTAGAACAGGGAGCCGAGAAGCAGAATGGTAGGTCCAAAGGAGAGAAATGTGCCGAACCAGGAGATCTCGTTCGAGTAGGCGACGGGGATGCGCTCGGAGCTGGGAATACCCAACTCGTACTGAGCATCGTCCATTTTCCTCTCGAAGGCCTCGACCGAGCCAATGGTGAAGTAGTAGTAGAAGTTTTGGTTGACCGAGGGCGATTCGGGGTACATGGACGCGACGGCCTCGCGGTGCAGATGGACCTTTGCCTTGTTGCCATTCAAGATGACGATCTTCTCCACTAGGCCCTTGTCCATGAAGGTAGTCCGGAACTCTTGCCATGTGATTTCCTTTGTATTCTCGCCCGGGTAGAGCATTTTGTACGTCAAGTAGGTGAGGAAGGCGGCGATAAGTATCGTGTTCGTGTCCATGCTGCCCCCAAACATGGGGGTAGGGCCGCCCGCTCCACCAGCGCCGCCCTTGGAGTCCTTGCCGCGAGACTGTGGGCCTGGATCGTGTGCACCAGCTTTCTGCTGGGGCTCTGCATCGGTGCCATCGTTCTTGAAGCGCTGCTGCTCGGCGGCCTTGCGTGCCATTTTGCTGGAGAGGCGCGAGATCTTGGCCGCCGTGGCCAGATCCAGCTTCTCACCTCTTGCTAACCGGTCCATTTCCTGCCGCAGTTCTGGGGGTATGCCCGTCTTCTTGATCTCCTGCATTGCCTCCTCGATGGCCTGTTTCTGCGCCTTCGGTACGCCCATCGAGACAAAAGACACCAGTTGATCTAATAGCTTCTCCTCCTCGGGCGTCAGCTTGGACATTTGGCTTTCTGCCTCCTTCCCGCTGTTCTCGGCTGTATTTGGCTCAGACTGTTCAGCCTGGCCATGCTTCTTCTCTATTTGCTCATCCTTCTTGCTGTTCTTTGGCTCCTCCGGCGGCCCGGTTGCAAATCTCCGTGCGCGCTGCTGTGCATATATGCATTGCGGAATGGGTACTCGTCTCCGTAGGGTGAGCGGTGCTCTTGATGAGGCGTTGAGGCAGGGTCTGGATAATCGCGCTAGATGACCTGATCGGCGGAGGAGGGTAGACATGGCGGGTGAGGAGGGGGAGGTGAGGGATGTGAGATTAGGCGACGATGGTAAACAATGCGCGGATTTACGCAATTACCATGCGCGGGTATAGGGGTGGGAGTGGTGAGGAGTGGCGGGCGCGCGATGATGGCGAAAGCCTCTGAAAGACAGATGACAGTATCATTGATTTCCGCCATCTCGAGCGAGCTGCATGACTAAGCGGTCCGGCGAACTCGCGCGGACAAACGCCCCACCGCTTTCAAGCATCAACATCGCAAGGGAATATCATAGAGGTACCTATCTGCAACTCACTATGCAATGCACCATGCAGAGCTACTTGGATGCGATGATTCCGGTGAACGGTGAGGACCAGCAATTCGTGCTCTTCCGAAATTCACCATATCAGTCAACATTTCCCTGGTTGACCGGTAGCAACTCTTGCACCATGACCGCATGCAAACTCTAGGAATCGCTATTAATAAGGCACCTTACGACCTACAGATCTGGTAGTAGACATGGGTCTCTTTCTCGCTGTAAAACCAACTATACACAACACAAATTCCATCGCTGCACCTACTCCCACACAAAACTCTAAATCATGCGTCTCTCCCGCATCCTATCCACATAATCCTCCCTCACTTTGTGCCTTACCCAAACAATCCAAAACCCTACAAACCTCCAAGCCCCAGCCCTTGTTATAGACCCCCAAACAAACACCACGGTAAGTCAATGCTGGAAACTTGTCGCGCCATTCAAACGCTCCTCCACCCCAGCACAACCAACACACTTGTGGCCACCATATCGAATAGCAAAAACCTCCCTTACACCATTCTAACACATCCTTACGATGACGGTCTACACCATGCGCCTGTACCGCAGCCCGCGCACTTTCTTTCCGGAGTAGCTCACGTGACGTCGCCACAGGACGAGAAGGTGGATTTGTGGATTTTAGGAGAGAAGGCGGGTTTGTTGTTTGCTGTTGATACGGTGGGGATCGGTCATGCTACGCACTATCCGTCAGATCTGGAAACAATTGCTATTGTAGCGCCCTTTGTGGAGGGGAGTTTCGCGGAACATGATGTTGTTGCGAGTGAGGGGCCGTGTTCAGCAATGTAGACATTCGTGTAGTCGGGATTGAGACTTCTGAGGTAAAACGGAGTTGGGCGTAGAGATACGCGCCGCCAAAGTTACATAGGGGGGAGTCAATGACAATGGCTATGCCTAGGAACGACGGTAGTAGGAACCCCGGGGTATCGCCCTAGCCACTGTGGATCTAGATGTCTGGCACATTCCAAAGTCTATCAAGGCTGAGCGAACTGTCCTTTGGATTTAACAACTCAATAAAATTTTCCTTCACCAAGTGCGACCGAAGAGTCGAAATTGGTCCATGTGCAAAGGACTTGTAGTGAATATGCTGCATAATGACGATAACATCATATAGTAACGCTAAAAAGTCATTGCCCCAACAGAGCAATTCGGGGAGGAAAACCTACCGTGTTACATGGAGCGCGTTGAGATACTGTAAGATGTACAGATAGAAACGGCACTGCGCCAAGGGGCACAATACAAGCCGTCTGCCGAGGAAATCGAGGTCAAGCGTAAAAGAGCAACCCTAGAGATATTACCAAGGGTAAGCGCCTAAGGGGCATAATGAGTTGATGGCACTCGGGAGAGGTAAAAAGCTGGGAGGTTATGCCAAAAGCGGTTGTTGATTGTACAATCTAATCATCGGCTCGAGGAAGAAAGTTGTCGTGCGAAGGACCCAACGTCCAGCTCTACTAAGTGTACAAGCCGCCATTCATCACACCATCATCGGCACCATCTCTTCACATATTTACTCCTCCTCGTCAGCGAACTCGGCGCGGCCGTGCTTCGAGTTCAGGTACTCGTTCCTGCCTTTGTTAGTCGCTTGTTCATGGCCCGTGGTGGCGCCAGTTCTCCGGCGGTGTCCATCGACTCACCTCTCAATAGCCCACTGCATGGTTCCATATGCGACAATAAAGGGTGGGACGAAGAAGAGGACCTGGTTCCTCGATCGGCGGATGACGTTCCAGAAGCCCTTCGCGAGGAAATTGGCCATGGGTCGCTGTCGGTTGGGGCTGAGAGTGTAGGTGATAACGCCCTTGCCGGGTCGGCCGCCACCCTCGTAGGGGTTACCCCATGAGCCAATGTGCCATCTGTATCTCACTGTCAGCCTGGTTGCCCTCTGTGGGGTGTATGAGGCGTTGCGGGATATCCGAAGAAGCGGGTGGATGGAGGGAGGTGCGAGCGATTGCGCGTGCCGGGAGCGAAGACGTACGTGGCCTTGTGTCGCGCGTTGGGATCGGAGCCGCCGCCAGCCATTGTGAGATATGTCGAGGGGGTGGAGAGGTGCAATGGGTGGATGGGAAGTTGACGTTGCCGTAAGAAAGCTGCAGGCCGGAGCTCACATCCAGTCCGCCAAGCGTTTTCTGTGCGCTAGGGTCGCATGAGGGATGGCGCGATGATCGTAGAATAACCACGATGTGATTGGCGCATATGGGAATTCAGGAACTCTTCGCAGAATTATGGTACAAAATATAATGATATCCATAGTAGGGGAGTGGGTATTTGGGGTGATGTTTCAGTTCACGGAACAGTATTGAACAAGACGCCGATGACGCCTTTTTATATCAAGATCAAGACCAGCAAACGCCTCATAAAACCTACATACATTATCTCGAAACCTGACACTTCATAGCGACTGCGGAACGCATATCACTTGACCGATGCTTAGCCTATCGCAGTCTACCTTCTCATTCCCACCCAAGCTCAGCAACTCATCTACGCCTAGGCCACGTTGTTCTGCAATCGCCCAGCATGTGTCGCCCTTCCGGATTTGAACTTGATGACTGCCTTTAGCACAGTCAACAACATGTGGAGTGCCCTGGTCAGAAACCGGTCCATTTGTGAGCTTGAACACCAGTATAAGGAAGACAAATATGAGGAGCGCGAACGGTAGCATCATGCGCGTAGCCTCTCGTGTATCCTTCTTTATCGCCTCGTTGTTGGCTTCTATTTCAGTATCACTGGGGGGTGGACGAGGCTGCCCGACGGGCCACAGTTCGCCATAGCGGCAGCCTGGTTCGGACTCGTAGGTGCGCCCGTCGGGCCCGCTGAACGTGTAGGTTTGGCTGTCAGCATCGTAGCCGATGCGTTCGAAGCCTGGAGGCAGGCGTTCGGAGTCCTGTCCTGAACATCAGCGAGGCGCACAGAAGGGTGGGATGAGACGCACACTATCCATATCCGCCCACTTGCTCGTTCTAAGAAGCTATTTGTTCAGGAAAATATGTTACCAAAGTCAGTCGAGAGCAAAAAGCCCCAAAGTAGCGATGCTTGTGAAATGCTGCTGTCTGTAGATATTAGAGCAACTCTAGCGCTAGACTATGATACGAGAGAGCGACTTGAACGGTACAGTATGCGGTAATTGACAGTAGACAGTGTTGGCGACTTCACAGCCTTTACACGGCACGTCTGACTGGAAGTGCGGACATGGTGCGACACTGCGACGCGTGTGCATGTACCAGCTTCAAACAAGCTACGCCACACTAGTGGTCGGTGCTCAACGGTCTATCTCTCGTAGCCACAGCCAGAACGGTAGATGGCGGAGACTTGAGGAATCAGGTTTATTAGAAGACTCATCTGCGAATACAGGGCACCTCCTTCGTTTGAAAATCCCAGACGTATAGTCCCTGACGTCTCTCTTGCTTATGACGACAGTGGAAGGCATCACAAACTTCTCGCCTTCATTGAGCGGACTGTTTGAAGCCACCGGCCCAAGGCGACACCATCTTCAATCCTTATAGTCCTAGGGGTAGACTTGGCGAATAGCATCTTTATGATGGCGATGGCGCTGTCTTATCAAGGTGTTGATTATCACCTAAGAAGATCTAAGCAACCTTGGTCTTTCCAAGTATGTAGTGAAGGCCTCCTAATAAGAGTGTCGGGATATAACAAAACGAGATTTGAAAATCCTACGCCGAGGGCCAGATGATACGTATGGTTATGTTATAGTGAAGTCATCCTACCAAATCGATACAAGAGAAAGGGAAATCACAGAGAGAGGATAAGCTCGACGGTTGGGGTTGCGCGCTTTCCGTTCTCGGAATGCGATACCACGCCCAAAGAACAGAGTCGCCTCTTCGCAACAATCCACCATCATCTACTCCCGCTCCTCCTACACCTACATACATCCACCATCATCTCGACTCTTCGCCACGCAAAAAAAGTCACCTGCACCAGTCACCACCGCAAACACGCCCCCTGTGACGCCACCGTGGCTGAGTCGACGCGACGTCATCCACATCTTTCCAAGCCCCAAGCCGGTTAAGCTCGCCGAAGCCCTGCGCCCAGCAAGATAAGGCAACCTAGCCGCCTCACTTTACTTGGCCTTTGCTCCCAAGTACACCCTCTGGTACCTGGTACTGTCTCTGCAACCTCGCAACACACCGCAGAAACCGATGGGAGATCCTGACGAACCCTCTTTACGCAGTGTCAAGTCTAAGGCAGCCGCTGCACTTGGCTTGGGACGCAACACGGACAAGCAGCCCACGCTCCCCACACACAACCCCCAGCCTACCCAGTCTGGCCTGAACGGTGCCGATCCGCCGCGTGTGGCTTCCATCAGCAACAGCGGCGACCTCAACGAGAAGTCAGCCTCTGGCAGCAATGTCTCACACAAGCGCAATCGCAACCATGGCATCGATAATACCACGGCCGAGGGAGAGGCATCTTCCGCCATAGGATCCGAGAAGCTCCCGCTGTGGTCGCCTGTGCGAATCAAGGCGGGATCTCTACGATTCCTCACCCACACCAAGAATGCCATCACACACAGCTGGATCAATCTCCTGCTGGTCTTTGTGCCTCTCGGCATTGCCGTCAAGGCTGCTGGCTTAAAGCCCGAGATTGTCTTCTCCATGAATGCCATTGCCATCATTCCGTTGGCTGGACTGCTCGCGCATGCGACGGAAGTTGTTGCTGCACGTGTAGGAGATGCACTCGGTGCACTGCTCAACGTTTCTTTCGGAAACGCTGTTGAGCTAATTCTCTTCATCATCTTGCTCTCCTCAAATCAGATTGAAGTTGTGCAGGCGTCCCTGCTGGGATCCATTCTGGCCAACTTGCTCCTCATCCTAGGCATGGCCTTTCTGCTTGGAGGTCTGAAGTATCAGGAACAGGTGAGCTTCCACTACGTGATCTGTCTAATATACAGCGGTACTGACGATACATAGGTCTACAACAACACCGTCACCCAAATGTCCGGTGTTATGCTCGCCCTTGCGGTCATGAGCCTTCTACTACCCACGGCTTTCCACGCCGCTTTCGACGACAACACCATTGCCGACCATGAGACGCTTTCTGTTAGCCGAGGCACGAGCGTAATCTTACTTATCGTCTATGGCTTGTACCTGCTCTTCCAGCTCAAGAGTCACAGGTATCTGTACGCAAGCACGCCGCAGCACATCATCGACGAGGAGTCTCACCCTGGTGTTCTGGCCGGCGCGTTCGATTCCTCCAGCTCCACCAGCTCTAGTTCAAGCAGCGACGACAGCGATAGCTCTTCGAACTCATCCAATGGAACCATGAAGAGAAAGGCCAAGCGCATGGTCAAGAGACTGCGGCGCAAGTCGAGTGCCAGCTCCAAAGATGGAGCAACACTTTCAGCTGTGAGCTCTCCATCTGCTCAGCTTCACGAAAGCCCGTTCGAGACTGAAAGGAATACGAGTGTGGTTACCACAACAAATGGACCCGCCGTCGTGTCTCGTCGGCATTCGATTGATGTCATGAGCGGCGATGAGGCCGACAATGACCAGTACGCTCCTGTCATTCGCGACTTCGAAGCTGCCTCGCACGTTTCAAACCCTAGTGGCAAACCAGAGAAGCGTACGCACAAGCGCAAGGAGAAGAAGCATCGCCGCGACCGCAACCATGAAATGGCGATCCAGGAGAAGGAATCTGAACCGGCCGAACCCAAGGTCACCTTCGCCGAACAGGTGGAGCAGAACACGATCACACCAACTACCTCGCGTCGGCAGTACCGTCCTGCTCTTCCCTCTCTGCTATCTACCAATGTTTTTACCAACCCACAGAATCCTACCCCGACCGGGCCTGCTCCCAATATTCGCATGGCAGCTCCCCGGGCACCACCACTACGCCGCGCAAGGTCCCTTCCGGAGCGCATGGATCGCGAAAGCTCCCAATCAAATACAAGTAATCGCCCTGCAGTCTCCCCTCAAGCAGCGATGGCCCTCAACGACAACGACGAGGACGATGATGCTCCTGATATGTCCATCAAGGCAGCCATCTTCATGCTTCTTTTCAGTACTGCCCTTGTCGCCGTCTGTGCTGACTTTATGAGTGGGGCCATTGACCCCATGGTTAAGACATCCGGTATCAGTCAGGCCTTCATAGGTCTTATCATCCTTCCCATCGTTGGTAACGCTGCAGAGCACGTTACAGCCGTCACTGTCGCCATGAAAAACAAGATGGACCTGGCTATTGGTATCGCTGTCGGCTCCTCTATCCAAATCGCCATCTTCATCACACCTGTTATTGTCGTCCTTGGCTGGATCATGGGTAAGCCTATGACGCTGTACTTTAACATCTTCGAGACGGTCGCCTTGTTTGTCACTGTGCTAGTCGTCAACTTCTTGGTTCTAGATGGCAGGAGTAATTACCTCGAAGGCAGCTTGCTCATCGCCGCGTATGTCATCATCGCCCTGTCTAGCTTCTTCTATCCGGATGGTTGTGAGGCAAGTGCTATTGGTGGAAACGAGCAACGCTGTGGAGCTGGAGGCACAGTTTCTGCTACTGCGGTGCACATGATGCTCAAGAGGATGGTGGCGATGTAGGTTACTCCTAGCGAGCGCTCGCTTTTTTGGCTCACCTGAGATTATCAGTTGCTGTTGAGAGCGCTCGCTTTCATCGCGATGGACATCGCATTACTCGGTCGAGTGGCATGGCGAGATGCCGCTCCCGATCCGGCATGCTTAATTATCCCTCTATTGGGCTGCGTGTTTTCTGTCTTTACCAATACTTCGATAGTTCGCACAAATTGACACATGTTATCAGCTGTTGCCATCGTGATACCCTACTTGTATTCTTCAAGCTATCTCAGCAATCCATAACTATCCGTGGATCTTGTATTCGAGGCCTATCCGCTTGCATGTATCTCCGTGCTTGGCGTCTGGCGTCAGTGATCTTTTGTTTCCGAATTCAGTCAGCTGCAAACATGAAGTTCACGCTATGTTTCCGAAACACTCCTTCGACAACGGGATCTAGGAAAAGTGATTACGCGGAAAAGAGAGGCGTCATGTAGGTTTCTAGGATGACTGCATTTGTCTGGTTCTTTTGTACTCTCAACTCCTCATTCCCTTGGAGTTGGGCGTTCTTTTCCCAACCTACATACGTAAGGAGCCTAGCAAGAGGATTCACCATTCGCAGTGCCGTTCTTGTAGGCACTTGTGGTATCACCAAGACACTCGGCTGCACCATAGTTAGCTAAAATGCAACAGAGTTACGTGTTAGCGGACTCACCGACTGTCACGAGCTTCAAGTTGTTGTTCTTCGCCCAATTGATCAACCATGGCGTAAGCGTATCCACCGTGCTGGCATATGTTTCATGCATCAACGGGATATGTCCATTTCCACCCGCGCCTGCTTGTGTGAACTTCTGCTGGCTCTGCTGCGGCGTCTTCTTGTCCCAATCACCAGTGTCGATATCATCGGTTATGACACGGTAACCCAGCGATTTCATCGTTGACAGGACGTTACCCCCAGTGGCGAGGTACGGTGGGCGCATGTAAGTGGGCTTTACGCCAATGATGTTGACCAATGCCTGTTCCAGACGTGTCATCTGGCTGGTCAGGTCGGCGGCCGACAGACTTCCGAAATTCTGCGGGTGAGACCAAGTGTGCGATGCGATTTGGTGACCGGCCTTGTACGCACTCTGCAAGGCGGCTTTCTGGCTGTAAACGCAGCCATAGAGTGTGCCAGTCACAAATAGAGTCCCTTTGGCTCCACCAGCAGTCAATGTGTCCGAAAGTTTCTGTGTAAACTGGTAGGGACCGTCATCGTATGCGAGAGCGAGCTGACCGGGCGCATTACATTTCGTGATTACCTTTAGGGCTGTTAGCTCAAAGCATGCAACTGAGATTGAACTGTGATCCTATCGGCTGAATAAGAGGTGCCGAATAAGGCCATGTACCTGTCCTGCTGCAGGGCCAGATTGCCTGATCACGTGTAGGGGATCGGGGATTGGCTTTCCGATCGCGACCGCAGTCAATGTAGCAACGAGGATTACTTTAAGACCCATGATAAATAATGAAGAGTTCCGAAGACTGAATCAACAAAATGTGTAGTCTGGGATTCCTCGAGCTTTAAGTACGGGTGCCCAGGCTGTGACGCCATGTGAGGTCAATCCGGGAAATATTAGAGTCTCTTGGCTAGTCTATGATAGACAGCGTTCTTTAACCGAGGAATTGGGGATAGAAATTAATCATGCTCGGAATACAGGGCGTTATAAAGTGTCGACTAAGCGAGAAGCCTACGACCACCACGCACCAAAATGCTATCGTACTGCAGGTTTCTATACAGATAGCGTAAGCTTATAGGTTCGCGAATGTTCAAATCAAATCAGCGTCACCGAGTTTCTTTGAAGAAACAAATTGTGTTGCGTGAGCAGATGCCCTTCATCCGGGGTTCCCATGTTGAAGTTGTCCACTTTAGCATATAGCTTGTTTCCACCGGCTAAATTACAAGCCTCAAGAGAGCCAAGTAGCTGAGCGTTGACAGGATTTCTTTTGGCTACAGATTAACGTGTCGTTCAACGTGGAGTTAGTCACGTGTACCAGGTATACGTGGCTAGAATCAGTTCTATACTACTATTTTTGCGTCGCGGTACCGTACTATTAATTATTTTGCAATACCGCTTTTACGATTTGCAGACAGCTCTCCGAGCTTTATAACTTTTTTTATTCTCTTCTGACTTCTGATGAGTCTGATGCGAGTTTTGGATGTATCTGCCCAACAGTTCAAGTATGACTTAATCGATAGGAGACTTTAGAAAATACCCTTACTTAATTACCCGTTTACTAGATATACCAATAGTTTTTCTCTATTCTACTAAATTGCTACTCACAAGTGATCCGCAAGTAACCATATTGTAATAAAGCATCCGAAAACGTATATAGGCCATGGAACAGCCCTCACAAGGAATTACATATTACAAAGGCTCTGTATGACTGCTGTACAACAACTATACTAGAGAAAGGTATTGTTAAAGATGTGTTGAGCGGTCATAGATATCAATGTAACTATGAGAATCCGTTACCAGGATCTTATCAAACTACAATATGAACAATGCTCTAGTATCATCTTCAACCAGATCATGAATCCTGAAACGATAGGCGTCGCCATCATACATTGCGTTTTTCACGATGTACGCTGATAGAAGCTAAGTACAATGTAGTCTATAAAGTTGGCTCTGAATTCAGGTTTCATCTCGTTGCTTGAAGTTCGACGTGAAACGAAGTTCCTTTCTCCACAATGTCTTTTTACAATCGACTTCTGTGGATTGTTTCTGCAGCTAGCACCTGCTCGCTGTCTCTATAAATCTCAAAAGTTTCCTACTGCTTCGACTTATTCCACAAAAACTCAAAGCACAATCAGTACATCAATACCCAACCCCCCAAGCAATTCAAGATACCAAGACACACTATACTTCAAGATACACAGATCATTGCTTCATTATGAGATTAAACATCAATTCTGGTTCTACTCGCGTCGGCGACGTTGAGATTCATGAGGTATTTCGTGTCACTGAACTCGATGCAGGTCATCGCGTGGAAGCCAATACCCTCGGTGGTATTGCCTTCGACTCTACAGTCAGCCACGGGAATATCCCTTTCTCGCAGGAATCACTTCATGCTATTGAGGCCCAACTCGCTATCATAATTCCTTGCATGGATGAAGATCAATCTATTCTCGACGGCGTGCTACATGGCATCCCGCACGAATGCCTAATTATTATTGTCTCGAACAGTAATTCCTCAAACTTTAAGGCCGAGTGCACCCTGCTTACAGATTTCTGTCATAATGCGAAGCGCCCAGGAATTATCGTCCACCAGGGAGATGAAGGCCTTGCTTATGCCTTTCATTCCGCAGGTTTGCCGGAGCTCGTAGTAGAGACAAGTCTGCCCCAGGGCAAGCAGAAGAACGCTCTGTATATCCGCAATGGAAAAGGAGAAGCGATGATGATTGGCGCAGCCATCGCCAAGCTTGCTGCAAAGCAATTCGTAGGATTCATCGACGCTGATAATTATGTTGCAGGGTCTGTCCATGAATACTGCAAGGTCTACGCCGCTGGCTTACACTATGCACTGCATTGCACTGAACACAACCAAACCACGTCTAGCAAGGATATTACTCAATTGGCAGCGGAGTCCAATTCCATGGTGCGCATTAAGTGGAACTCAAAGCCCAAAGTCAAGGATGGCCAGCTTGTATTCGAGAAGTCTGGACGATGCTCACGCGTTGTCAACGGTTGGATGAATCGCTTCTTGAATGCAATTGTTGATGACACCACACAGAACGCGGTAATTCAGACTGGCAATGCAGGCGAGCATGCTATGAGTCTCAACTTGGCCATGGAGCTTCGTTTCGCAACTGGGTACGCGGTAGAGCCGTTCCAACTCGTCAACGCATGGGAGCAGTTTGGAGGGCAGACTTCAACGTACAAGCAGAAAGACCACACAATGGTCTCTAAGGCACCGTTGTTGCGCAAGGTGCAGATCCTCCAGATCGAAACGCGGAATCCACATTTCCACGACGTCAGCAAAGGTAACGATCACATCGAGGGGATGCAAGTCCAAGGACTTAGTACAATCTACCATTCGAGCCTTACACCCCCGAAGCTAAAAGATGAGCTTCGAGTGTACATGAAAGAAAATTTCCCCACAGTTGTTGGTGCTAATGGAGAGCCGGAGCGGGCTCGCGTTTACCCGCCACTTGGGACAATGGATTTTGGGATCTTCAGGACCGCTATGAAATCTTACCCGAAAACACTGAAAGTCATTGACGATACCACAGGTAAGCTATCACTATAAGCGGAAACAGCGATCGGTGCTCAGAATTGTTAGTCTGGAGGCGAGCTACATGATTCGTACGTAATCCTGGGTCGAACTCTACAAGGCTATTAGATATTATTCGTAAGTATATGAGTTCCTCGAAGAGGAGCTTGCGGCATGTATGCGGTGAGGTCTATAAAAATGTTTGCTATATACATGCTAGGCAGAGTTAATAGCAAGGTGTGCAAGAATGTTATGCAGGCGCCGGACGCCTCAACGCTCGCTCGCATCAACGTCACCATTTGGTTAGGATAGTTCGCAAAGTTACAAGATAACAAGACTCCTGTATAACTACTATAGGCAGTACTTTGCTACGTGTTCTAATATCCCCTACTACGTAGCCCACGCTATTATAAAAAATAAATAAGTACTACTTAAAGCTATATAATATTTTTTAATACTTTTATACTAATATAATATTATTAAGTCTATATATACCAAGTCTACCTTACCCTCCTACTAGCTACTAAATAGAAAATTACTATTTTTATTATTACCTTTATAGCTTAATAAAATACTTTCACTATAATTCTACTACTTAGCCTATATTACTTCTAGTAGTTATAATATAGTAGAAAGTAACTATCTAGCCTTACTAGTACACTTATAAGTAACTTTAATTTAAGCCTTATAGTAGTAATATAAAGATAGTTTATAGAAGGTCTTTACCCTTATTAGTACCTTCTAGCTAAGTAATGCTAAATTAGTTATTTCAAAACTAAAGGTAAGCCAGACGAGTCATCATCGTCCGAAGTTCCCCCATGTCTGCCCGTTGAAAGTCACTGAGCCCCGCTAGCTAACATATCATGACTGACTACTCAAGCAGGTCATTGAAACCACGCAAATGACATTTTGTTGCTTGCTCTCCAAGGCTCCGGCTCTGGCTCGGGCTTCCGTTACTGGACGAAGCTCCTCTTGCCCTTCCTCTGTTCCTTCAACGTCGACGAGCCCTCGCTTTCGAGTTCGCCCTCAACATTCCTATCTGCTTCTCGTGCAGATACCTTGCGTTCGCCTTTCTGCACGAACCCTTTCCAGGTCCTCCCATTTCATCATCTTCGCAGTCCTTATAACCAGCGACCGTGTCGGACTCGGAATGTCTAATATAATTCAAACCCATCTCCCTCTCGACATTTACCTCGTTTACAGCCTTCACAATATGCTCGTTCATGTGGTGGGCCTTCGATTCTCTTGAACGGTGGCGCCTCCATTTCCACACCTGCCCATTTCTTGAGCCGATATGCGACCCGTTCGATATAGGATCGTTCGTCCAGCTCAAAAGTGCCTAGCCGGTCGCAGGACTTGCAACTCTGGTTATACACAATTGCAGTGTACCCGTTGTCTTCGTATCCTCTTATCTCGATAGGCACCTTCCTGCTATCCCAAAACCGTTTTTCACAGGTACTGTTATTACATATAAATCTGCCCATGACGTGGGTAAACCGTTCATGGTCGAAATCTTCGTTGTCATCGTCTTCATTGAACCATATCGAGGATATTTCTGGGGAGACTGCGTCTGTAATATTTGGATGGAGTTCTGGAAACATGAAGAAACTTCTCGTCTCTTGTATGGGTTTAAGAACGTCGTCCCTGGCTATCTGTGAATGTGTAGTATTCGTGGGCGGGATCTCTGAGATAAACATTCGAGCAAGGCGTTCAAGGAGGAGAGATCGCGGTCCAACGGTAGGACTCCTTGGCCAGGTGTTGCTTGACACGCCCTCATCAGGCTCTTGATACAACGGAGTGTCTACAGAACCTAGTGGCCAACCAGAGGCGTCCTGACAAAACCTTCTGTGGTTCTTGAGTGATTTGTTGCTGCCGAAAGACCGTGTGCAATGCTGGCAGTGGAATTTCGTATTGTGCATGGGCGAGTATTGTTGATGCTGTTCGAGTGCTTCTTTGGTGCCGAAAAAGCGATCGCATGTCTGGCAGTGAACTTTTTTGTTATGCATAGGCGAGTCGCGTAAGTGTTGTTCGAGTGCTTCCTTGCTGGCAAAATAACGAGTGCAGAGAACACAGTGGTCCATAGTTTAGACGATTTCAGTCTTTTGTTCGTTCGAGTTGTAGAGGGAAACAGCAGTTACAACGGTAAAGATGTGAGTTTTAGGAACTGCTGAGTCCTAGACATCGTAAATTGACTTCGCCTCTATGTTGTGCAGCTGAAAGCATTCCTTGGTCCAATGACACAGTAACACATGGCGGGTGGCAATGCACGCCGGTTTCACAACAGACCAAGTGACGTCTGGGGAGAAAATTGACAGTCCATTCCGCTCCAATGCATCCCTATTCCTCATCTCCTTGCGTTTCTCCGTCTCAACAAATAGTATCAGGCGTACAAGGACGTTACTTCCGTTACAAGCTTGGAGCTCCATGTAATTTGCATCCAACAACGGTAATCCGTAGCAAAAGTAAATTTTCATACCAAAGAACAACGTTAGATATTGATAATGGCTTCAGACGTTCTGATCACCAAAATAAAGAAATTGATACGATACGATTCCTCGTCACTGTTTCACAACTGTGTGATACTACGTGTAGGTGCGGGGTATGCGTCACGTCACAAGACGAGTCCCGAACTGTCGTATTAGATACGACGACGTGTGGCGCGAAAAACCCAGGCAACATAAGACATTCTCTTCGCTGCTTGTATCTTTGTGTGCCTTACTGTTTAGTCGATCCATCAGTAGCATGAGCGAAGATAATGACTTACCAGTCGCTGGAACTGCGCACCAGGTCAGAGCAATTCGAACGCGCAGGCCCTACCGTATAAGGCTGACATGCTCATGTAGCAGCAGTCTCATACAGCAATGGATAGCACCATACAACATACCTTGATCACAATCGGAGGCGTGAACTACGATATCGATGTTTCTCAGATACTATATTTATCGTCTTTCGTCGACTTTCAAGGCAAAGCTCAGCCACAAGGAACGAAATTAGTCCACGGCCCCATCCCTCTGATTGACGTAGCTCTCAAGGGAATCCAATCAGGCTATCGCCAATGTTTCAGAGCTCTCCCTCCCGATCTTTCTCAACATCATATACTATGCGAAACGTACGATTTTCTGGGTATCGATATCCTCGGAGAGCAATACGTTGATCAGATATTCGCCGACCTCAAAGCCTGCAAGACCGACTACGAACTTGAGTACAAACGTTACTTGGCTATCAAAGGGAACAAATCAAAAGCACGAGATGCTGCGTTCAAATTGCTGTACTTGATATTGATGGGGGAGTTCAGGGATGAGAATAAGGACTCTATGAAAGTGTTCAACGCAGTCTTGTTCATCGTCTCTCACTCTGCGACGTTCAAATGGAAGACGAGAACCATGATTCGGGCTGCATACCAGGAGCGTTTCGTTGTCACCTTGAAGCAGATAGCAAGGCTAGATGAGTGGCTCAAAGGGGATACTGCGGACGATGTTGATGGAGATAACACAACTACAGATGAGTCCTCAGACGAGAACTATAATTCTGATTACTCATAAGGAAAGATCAAGAGTTTATGTTATTCTTATATTTTATACTATTTAAGTTTATTTTTTTTTATTTTTTTTCTATAAGTAAAAGTAAAGTCGACGGCAGAGCAGATTATACAACGCAGTAAGAAAATTTAGCATAAAAATTACATTAGGTGCTATGCTTAGCATTTTAATATAGTATTAAGGCAGTAAAATTTACATAATACCTTATTTGAGTTTAAACTAATTAGTCTAAGAGGCTCTTAATTAATAAATTATTTTTAATATATATATTATAAGCAAGCTAGCTACCTTAGTAAGCTAGTTTATTTAAAAACTTTTATTTATTTTTTATTTATATATTATACCCAGCTTTACTATAGTATCTAAAGCACTTTTAAAAAAGTTTACTTCTTTTAATATATACTTTTTCTTTTACTACGCGCCTTTTTTTTTAAAAAAAAAGACTAAAACTACTTAAGTAGCTATTTAACAATAAAATAATAGTACTAAATTAGTTAAAAGTAATAAAATTTTAGTAAAGTAGCTAGCTTACTTATAAAATATATTATACTTTAATATACGTGCGTAGGAGGGACTAATAATAATTTATAAGTAAAGTTACTTTATTATAGAGTAGTTCTCGCTACGTAGGAAATATTACTTAGTTCTTTAGTTTACTATAACGTATTACACAGGCAAGTTAATTGCCCAGTTAAGTTAGTTACAATACTAAAACCCTACTAAAATTAGTAGTTTTCTACTATTAAACGCAATGCTTTAACATAATAATATACAATTTTTTTAAAAAAAAAACTAAATATAGCTTATAGTTTAAGCTTTAAAATATAATGCAAATTTTTTTTAATAAAAAGCTGCGTAAATTTATAGCATCTTTTAAATAATACTTAGTAATTAATTAAAAAAAAAGCTTTTATAATATAATACTAGGCCTAATAAGATAAAGCTTTTTTTAATAGAAAAAAAAATAATTGCCTAGTATATACTTTACTTTAAAAATTAAAGATTTCCGCCCTAACTAGCTGCTATAAATAATATAGCTAATATTTTGCTAATTAAATATAAGCAATTACTTATTAGCAGGAACTAGGCTAGTATATTTATTAAATAATATCTATAGCTTAATACTAGGATTTTTTAAAAGTATAACTACTAAAAAGCTTTATATAAAAATTCTAAGCTTATATAAAGCTAGTTCTAACTTATAGAAAATATAAAAGCTAAGTATAATATTTAAAATAAAAATATATATAACTTTAATAAAACAGGCTTTATAATAAGCTAAATATTATATAAAACTATTATTTTAAGTACTAACTATTAAAGACAGCCAAAAATAGTATAACAGGGTAATTAAAAGTAAGTAATAGTAATTTAAAGCATTAATATAATAAAGTAGGCTATTTTACTTTTTATTATTTTTATAGGCAAGAACTACTTTTTAACCTAGTATAAAAAAAATAGCCTGCCTTATAATTAAGTTATTATAGTTTTTAAAAATAGCCAAATAATAAATAAACTTACTTTTAAATAGTTAAAGCACTTTAATAAGTATACTAAAAAAAAATTATTAGTATTTATTATTTATTTATTATTAATAGTTATAAAAGCTACGTATTAGTTTAATTCTAGTAGTACTATAAAAAATAAAAAATTATTACTTTTTATATGCCCCTGTATTTGTTGCACTTGCTATAGCTACTTAATATAAATTATTTTACGCTTTTAAAAAAAGTATATAAGTACTAATGTATTACACGGGCGAGTTAGTTACCTAGTTAAGTTAGTTACAATGCTAAAACTCTACTAAAATTAGTAGTCTTTTACTATTAAACGCGATGCCTTAATATAATAATATACAATTTTTTTAAAAAGAAAACTAAATATAGCTTGCAGTTTAGGCTTTAAAATGTAATATAAATTTTTTTTAATAAAAAGCTGCGCAGATCTACAGCATCTTTTAAATAATACTTAATAATTAATTAAAAAAAAAGCTTTTATAACACAATACTAGGCTTAATAAAATAAGGCTCTTTTTAACAGAAAAAAAAGTAATTGCTTAGTATATACTTTACTTTAAAAACTAAAGATTTCTGCTCTAACTAGCTGCTATAAATAATATAGCTAATATTTTGCTAGCTAAATATAAGCAACTACTTATTAACAAAAACTAAGCTAGCATGTTTATTAAATAATATTTATAGCTTAGTACTAGAATTTTTTAAAAGTACAACTACTAGAAAGCCTTGTATAAAGATTTTAAACTTATATAAAGCTAGTTCTAATTTATAGAAAATATAAAAGCTAAGCATAATATTTAAAATAAAAATATATATAATTTTAATAAAATAGGCTTTATAATAGGCTAAATATTATATAAAACTATTATTTTAAGTGCTAATTATTAAAAACAGCCGAAAATAGTGCAGTAGAGTAATTAAAAGTAAGTAATAATAATTTAAAGTATTAACGCAATAAAATAAACTATTTTACTTTTTATTATTTTTACAAGTAAGAACTACTTTTTAGCCTAGTATAAAAAAAATAGCTTACTTTATAATTAAGTTATTGTAGTTTCTAAAAATAGCTAAATAATAAATAAGTTTACTTTTAAGTAGTTAAAGCACTTTAATAAGCATACTAAAAAAAAAGTTATTAGTACTTATTATTTACTTATTATTAATAGTTATAAAAGCTATATATTAGTCTAATTCTAGCAGTACTGCAAAAAATAAAAAATTATTATTTTTTATATACTTTTGCATTTGTCGTACTTGCTATAGCTACTTAATATAAATTATTTTGCGCTTTTAAAAAAGGCGTATAAGTATTAAGCTAAAAAGCTAATGCGCAATAATATTAACTATATTACTAAAATTAAATTTTTATTATAC